GTTCTCTGAGATTCCTCTCTACTTGGCCAGTTGCACCACAGTAGCACAGCAGAGCAGTCTCGTTTTGAGTAAAAATGAAGACTGGCTTCCAATGCATGAGCTATACAGCAATCACAGACATTCGTTTCGGCCCCTGTGAGCCTCGTCAGTGAGGTGTGGCTAATACCCTTGCAGGCATAATGAGCACATCTGGACAATCTACATGAATGTGTATAATTCACAGCATGTTATGGGTATGCCTCTAAAGCCACATATGTATGTGTACATAATTTAGGCATTTATAATAACATACATTTTAGATAAAATGTAATAAATTCATATAAATCAAATCGCATAAGAAATTCAATAACACTGGCAGTGTGAAGCGGAAATCGCAAACGATTATTTTTTTGTTTTCATTGCAACCAAGTTTGGTCACTTTAGCAGAATTAAAGCTAAAGTAGTCTGTGACTACAGAGTTGGCAGGTCTTTACAAATTGGCTTGTTTCGCCTAAGTGTTACAATTCTGTTTTCAGTTAACCCATATGGACTGTTTATAAAGAGATTTCATTTTCTTTGTCATCTCCACAATGGTATAATGGAATCCTGTGATAAATGGTGCATGCACCAACCCGTGGATGATGGATATCCCACATAAGCTCACCTGTAACATGACGTGGTCCAAGCCAACTGGCCTTTCTAACCTAAGGCCTTTCTAATTTGTGGCTTGGTGAATGGTGTCGGGAGCAAGAATTTGGCTTTATTTCACATGGTAGCTCTGTTTGGAATGGAAATAAGCTGTACAAAAAAGATGGTTTGCATCTTTCTCAAAAGGGAACAAATGTTCTCAGTGAGCAGTTCAGAGGTTTTGCTATGATGTATTTAAACTAGGAGGGGGGGGCAAAAGGGTGATAAAACATCAATCCAATTGTCCCCCAAAACAAGGACAGAAGGTGCCTGTAGCAAGTGTGTTAAAAAATAAGCTTAGAGTTATGTCTATAAATGCTCACAGTTTAGGGAATAAGATCCATGAACTTGTGGCAATAATGGCAACTGATAGTGTAGATTTAGTCGCTGTTACTGAGACATGGTAGAATGAGAAAAATGACTGGGACATAGCAATACCAGGGTACTCTTTATATAGGAAAGATAGGGAAGGCAAGAAAGGGGGAGGGGTGGCCTTGTATGTGAAGGATAGCATAAAATCTAGCTTAATAAAAGTTAGTGAGGCAAACATAGAGTCCGTTTGGGTTACGTTAGAATTTGGTAATCACACAGTAACTCGTGTAGGTGTGATTTATAGGCCCCCCAGGACAAATTGAAGAGTTAGATAATCTACTAGTTGAGGAAATAGCTAAAATGACAATGAAAGGGGAAGTTATCATCATGGTCGACTGTAATCTTCCTGATGTAAATTGGAAAACAAAATTAGCTACTTGTGCCAGGAGCACACATATTCTAAACTCCCTACTGGGATTGTCTCTAAAACAAGTTGTTGAGGAGCCAACTCTTAAAGAGGCCATACTAGATTTAGTGTTAACAAATGGAGATTTGGTATCAGATATTACTGTAGGTGAAAGTCTAGGATCCAGTGATCATCAGTCAGTGTGGTTTAATATAAGAACAGTGACTGAGTCACACCACACAAAAACAAAAGTTTTAGACTTTAGAAAACAGACTTTTCTAAAATTAGAATATGGGTAGAGGAGTCATTATCAGACTGGAGCAATTTAAATGGAGTCCAAGAGAAATGGGATTATTTAAAAGTTGCACTATTGAAGGCAACAGAAAATTGCATTAGGCTTGTCAGTAAAAACAAAAAATTCAAGAAACCACTGTGGTACTCCGCAGATGTGGCCAAAATAGTTAAAAACAAAAAGTCAGCATTTAGGAATTATAAAAAAAACCAGAGTGAGGAAGACAAAATGATCTATAAGATTTGGCAGAAAGAGGCTAAGCAAGTTATAAGAGCTTCCAAATCACACAGAAATAGCACCGTCAGTAAAAAAGGGGGACAAAACATTTTTTAGATACATAAATGAGAAAAGAAAAGTAAAACAAGGATTAGTTAGATTAAAAACAAAAGAAGGAAGGTATGTAGAAGAAGATAAAGGTCTATCTGACTGCCTCAGTGAATATTTTTGTTCTGTATTTACAGATGAAAATGAAGGAAAGGGACCTCAGTTAAGAAAAAGGATAAATGAGTCATTTATTACACGTGAGTTTACTGAGGAAGAGGTTCTATTTCAACTGTCAAAAGTAAAGACAAATAAGTCAATGGGACCTGATGGAATACACCCAAAGCTATTAAAAGAGCTTAGTGGTGTACTAGCAAAACCATTAACAGATTTACTTAACCAATCATTGTTAACAGGAGTAGTCCCAGAAGATTGGAAGTTAGCGAATGTTGTGCCCATTTACAAGAAAAGTAATAGGGAGGAGTTGGGCAACTATAGGCCAGTAAGCCTTACTTCAGTAGTGGGGAAAGTGATGGAAACCATGTTAAAGGATAGGATTGTTGAACATCTAAAAACACATGGATTTCAAGATCAGAGACAACATGGGTTTACTTCAGGGAGATCATGCCAAACTAATCTTATTGATTTTTTTTTGATTGGGTAACTAAAATTATAGGTCAGGGTGGTGCAGTAGACATTGCTTACCTAGATTTCAGTAAGGCTTTTGACACTGTTGCACATAGAAGGCTTATCAATAAACTGCAATCTTTAAGTTTGGATTCCAATATTGTTGAATGGGTAAGGCAGTGGCTGAGTGACAGGCAACAGAGGGTTGTAGTTAATGGAATATATTCGAAGCTTGGACTTGTCACCAGTGGGGTACCTGAGGGATCTGTACTTGGACCCATTCTCTTTAATATTTTTATTAGTGATATTGCAGAAGATCTTGATTGTAAGGTATGTATTTTTGCTGATGATACTAAGATATGTAACAGGGTTGATGTTCCAGGATGGATAAGCCAAATGGCAAATGATTTAGGTAAACTAGAAAAATGGTCAGAGTTGTGGCAGCTGACATTTAATGTGGATAAGTGCAAGATAATGCATGTTGGACGTAAAAACCCAAGGGCAGAGTACAGAATATTTGATAGTCCTAACCTCAATATATGAGGAAAGGGATTTAGGGGTGATTATTTCTGATGACTTAAAGGTAGGCAGACAATGTAATAGAGCAGCAGGAAATGCTAGCAGAATGCTTGGTTGTATAGGGAGAGGTATTAGCAGTAGAAAGAGGGAAGTGTTCATGCCATTGTACAGAACACTAGTGAGACCTCACTTGGAGTATTGTACACAGTACTGGAGACCGTATCTTCAGAAGGATATTGATACCTTAGAGAGGGTTCAGAGAAGGGCTACTAAACTGGTTCATGGATTGCGGGATAAAACTTACCAGGAAAGGTTAAAGGATCTTAACATGTATAGCTTGGAGGAAAGACGAGACAGGGGGGATATGATAGAAACATTTAAATATATAAAGTGAATCAACACGGTAAAGGAGGAGACTATATTTAAAAGAAGAAAAACTACCACAACAAGAGGACATAGTCTTAAATTAGAGGGACAAAGGTTTAAAAATATCAGGAAATATTACTTTACTGAGAGGGATGCATGGAATAGCCTTCCAGCTGAAGTGGTAGAGGTTAACACAGTAAGGAGTTTAAGCATGCGTGGGGTAGGCATAAGGCTATCCTAACTATAAGATAAGGCTAGGGACTAATGAAAGTATTTAGAAAATTGGGCAGACTTGATGGGCCAAATGGTTCTTATCTGCCGTCACATTCTATGTTTCTATCTCTGTCCGCTTCATTGGAAGGGCTCCTTAATTACTAGTTGCACCTAGTAAACCTCATTCAAATCTTTACCATGTAAGAACAGCAGATAATTTCCCAAGTATGGCAAAGGTCTTTTATCTTTTCATTCTCTGGTTGACACTGGGGGTGCTGGTATTTGTCATCATGTCAAGGTACCCTAAGATTGCAATAGCATGCAGCAGTAAGATAAAGGAATTAGATCTGTAACACTGGAGGCACAAATCACCTGTTTCTCCCACAAAACAAAGAGAGAGAAATTGGACTAGGGATTCTCTCCCCTAAAAGGTATGCAACAATGGAGGGAAATATTAGAGAATAAGCATGGTGGCTTGAAAGCAGTAACGTGCAAGACTTCCTCTGCCTTTTTAAATCCCAGACATGACTGTTAAATACTGATTTTAGAAAATACTTCTTTGTCCATAACATGGTTTGCAAAATAGGTTTTAAAGGGTACCTGTCATGACAATACAACTTGATCTAAAATGATCGAGAATCATATTTTATCTATACATTGTGCTAGATGAATTGCTAGCAAATGTCTAGATTTCTCTTAAATCTGAGGTTGAAAAAAAAAACCCGCTGCCTCCTCTCAATTCAGTCTGTGCCAATTGGCATACAGATAAATATCAGTGTGCTGTGTGTGTCTGTTACCAGGAAAACCCTCCTCTCAGCATGACTCTTCTTGAATTCAGTCTAAGGGAAAGCAATGCCTGCAAATGGATGAATAGGGAGGTGCAAGATCTGTGTCCGAGCAGCAGATCCGTGAGAGGAGAGAAACAGCCAGAATGATTTATTGCAGCAGCTTTGGACAGGCAGTCTGAGAATGAAGAGAGGGTTCTAGACATTTAACCTGCAATGGGAAACAAGCTTGTGCGTCCCAAATGTGTCTCACAGCAAGTGTAACACTCACAGGAAACATGATTGATGGGATTAACAGGATACAGGTGTAATTTAAATTAAAAGATGAGCTTTAACAGTATTAAGGGAAGAAACTCCTAATTTTAAAATGTGAGTCAAGTCAGATGGTTAAAAAAACTGCAAACCTATGTCTGCCATGACCGGTTCACTTTAGGCTATGTCTCACCATATTAGTATCACTTTTGTATAACCACAGAAAATTTAGTCTTTATGTGTGAAAATGTTACAATAAAAAAAAAAGTTAAATCCGGTACCTAAATGAATCCAGAAAACATTTTGAAATAAAATCCCTTTATTTATATTTACATATTCACAGTAAAAAAGCACCAAACCAATCCAAAATGCAAGAATAATTCCATCTATATAAAAAAATGCAAGGAAAATGTTTTGGTTTTTTTCTGCTTTTTAATTCATTTTTATGTAATATTTGTTTTAAAAAAACCACTAAGGACACCTTGAATATCACGATGTATAGAATTGTGAATCATATGTTTGTCCATTCTGGATCATTTCAATCCTATTTTATCAATGCATTCTAAGAAAGTAATTTAAGGAACAATTTTGTAAACGTATATGTCACTGAATAAATGACTAAAACTTGTTATATGAGCCAAGTTCAAATCACAATAAAACTTCAACTGTGCTTAAAGGACCACTATAGTGCCAGGAAAACATACTTGTTTTCCTGGCACTATAGTGGGGCACCCTCTGGGTCCCCCTCCCGCCGGGCTGGATGGAGAAGAAGGGGTTATTTCTAGACCGGAATGGAAGGCTTCAGAATTGTGAGCTCTCCTCCTCTTCGGCTGAATGCGCGCGCATTCAGCCAGTCTATAGGAAAGCATTCACAATGCTTTCCTATGGACGCTGGCGTCTTCTCACTGTGATTTTCACAGTGAGAAACGCGGAAGCCCTCTAGCGGCTGTCAATGACACAGCCACTAGAGGCTGGATTAACCCTAACATAAACATAGCAGTTTCTCTGAAACTGCTATGTTTATAGAAAAAAGTGTTAACCCTAGATGGACCAGGCACCCAGACCACCTCATTAAGCTGGTGTGGTCTTGGTGCCTATAGTGGTCCTTTAACGCAGCACTATTACATTGCAACTTCTTTGTATATTTTGCAGTCACTCAATTTCGTTCTCTAAAATTCACCTTAATTTTCTTATTACAGTAAAACCTCAGTATCCACTGCTCATTGTGTCCCAAATAATACAAATAAGTAAAGTGGTAAGGGGGGGGAGGGGACACAATAAACACTACATCATAGCATAGTTGTTATGATGCTTGGAGTATCTTCCAATGTATGTAGTAGAATTGTTTGCGAACGGTTTGACCCTGCATTTCTGCAGCTGAAGGTATCTTCCAGAGCGAAACCTGACAGTGCAGGGCTTAGCTCATTGGCTGAGAGTGATCAACTGACATTCTGAGCAAATGAGACCCCATGCACTGCAGGGCGTAGTTCAGGAGAGCCAACAGAAGCTCCTGGGAAAAACTTCCAGCTCTTCATATAGGAAGAGGAGAGACAAAGATCAGCACCCGATGACCAGGTAAGAAAAACTATTTGCAAAATTTCATCCCAACGTGTACAATTAAATTGAATAGGTATTGCCCGAGAACTGCACTTTTATTTATTTACGGAGTCTTATTTGCCAGAGCGAGACATAATTCATTTTACTTCTAATTTATTTTCACTGCTTTTAGATTTTTTTATTATTATAATTATAAGAAGGAATCTAGTGTATTAAAAAGAAAAACATTTTCATGAAGTTCAAAATCTGTAGTATGGTTAATTGTATTGTTTTGAAATCTATGTACTGATTTATTTTATTGATGATCAATATTCGAAATTCATTGTTTTAGAAAAATGAATGGTGATTGTTTGCCTGAACTCATTGAAGTATGTGTTTTATTGTGCCTTTCAGAGCACTACGGAGCTTATTTCCCTAGACTGTGATCAATACACTAACAATGAGCGCTCGGACAAAGGAATTACAAATGTTAGATCAAAATACCAGAATTAGTAAAATACTCTAAATTGGCAGCTTGGATATGTTGATCCTTTGGTCAGGTCCCAATAAATTCCAGTTTAGTGAATCACTTGAAGTGTAGTAAATATACCACTATTCTGAGTGAATTGCTGGGAATTCACTAGGAAGTCCCAATTTTAGTTCAAAATAGGTGATTTGGAAATATAGTTTGATTGCAGATTTATTTACAGTTTGTCTACTTTGATCTAAAATGTACAATTAATTTGTCAGTCCATGGCCATTCGCATTATAGTTAATAATTCTGCCCATGTTTATTTAGTGTTTGAGTAGCTAAACCGCAGATATTGCATTATTGGGCACCTTGAATAGGCCAGAGTCACTGGTAAGATCTGTAGGTTTTTTGTTTTTGTTTTTTTCAGTGTAGCACCAGAGTGTTCCTGCAGAGGTCAGACGAGTCTCACCGGAGTCCCCATTAATGTCCAAATTCAGGAATTCCTTCTGAAGAAAAGGAATTCACACCCAAGTATACTATCTAAAATATGGAATATCTAGATTGATAATGGTGACACATTTTATATGATACAAGACTGGATTTTAATTCATTTCTGTAAAAAATGTGTGTATGTATACATATATTTTTATATATATATATATATATTTGTGGTCAGGGACAATAAGCCGAGATATAGTAGACGTGGTGTAAGTCTGTTGTGGTGTGGCGAAACCAATGCTTGGATAGGCCTGTAAAAAGAGGGCCCACCAAAATTAAATGGCTTGATAAAGGGAGTGGAGGGTGGGCTGAATCAAGAAGTATCGGCCCAGAGGAAGGGGAGGCCTGTGTATTTAAAGGCCGGTTGAGCCTTCCCATATATATTGTCTAAAGTAAAAGACAGCCATATTACCTGTTTTAAATTCCAAATAAAACTTAGTAGAGGGCAAATAATGTTCTCTTTGTTTTTAAAGTATGCTAATGTAAAAAATCCCTGAAAGACTGGTTTCTCTTGTTAGACAGCTTGCCCCCTTTACATCTATGATCGTTTCTCGATTGTCCATCCCCAGTAAACACTATAGAAGTTGTACTGGGGTAAGTTATACAAACACATCAGTGACACCTGGTTGGGCATCATTTTACCATGAGTCACTGCAAGGTCACAGACATTTTGAAATTTGCATGATATGCCAGTCAGTGCCAGCACATCCTTGCATTTGATTCCGATTGCTATATTGTTTTTGTTACATTTTAGTTTTTCTTTTAGACTGCATTTCCTTCTAATGTGGACACTCCTCTTTAAGGATTCCGCTGTTCACTTGGATGAAGAGAAATAAGTGCAATGGTACTTTATAGATACAAATTTAAAAGTAAACATGATTATTGGTTGAAAATGTTAAAAACCGGAGTATCCTGAAAGGCCTCAATTTTATCATATTTGTAATTCTGTCCAATCACGTCATTCTAGCTGTTCACTAGACCACTGTCAAGCCATGATGCTGGAATGAAAAAGAGAAGAGAAAAACATATAATTAGAAATGATATATATTTACTGCATTCATATCATTTCTTATTTACCAAGATTATAAACTGGGCTTTATTAGAACATGAATGATTAATATATCTTTAAAAGGAAACCTACATTTATTAACTAAGTAAATGATTGCAGCTGCTCCAGAGTTTTACTTTAATGAAAGATAATTTTTTAGATTTCCTTTTTAGTCCAGTACATACATGATCCTCTCTTATTAAATTGGTCTGTTTTCCCCCCTGGTACCATTCAACCTGTTCTCGAGCAGCTTGACACAACTCAAGGGACATTCCGGAGCATAACTCCCAAGTGTCCCCATTTATAAGGGGTAGTGCTTATTTTAGGCCCAAATCCTTCTGTCCCTCTCTTTTAAAAGCTCAGTATTGTTGGTGCATCTCAGTAATAGTCTAAACTGCAATGAATGTGTTTAGAAATCAGTTTGTGTAGATATGAAATGTTGCAGTTTTGTCTTACATTTTATTGTATAAATTGTCATATTAGTAAATCACCTAAAATATCTCAGGACAGTCCTGCTCCAGGCCACTCACACTCTTAAAATGAAAGTGTCCCTCTTGGGATCTAGAAGCATGCAGGAGCATGTGGTAAGGCCCCTATCCCACCTATCCCAACACAATGGTTTGTGAAAACTACACACCCACAACAGTGGGGAAACTCACATTTATTTTTTTCTCTCCATTATATTTAAAGAAAGTTGCAAAAAGTGGCTTTTTCTTACGGTTTGCTTTAATTTATTTACCTCTGTGTTTTGTTCTGTTTATCCAATGTACAAAATATAGCAGTGATTATAAGTTATTTGAGCAATTAGAAGCACTTTCTCCAACCCTCTTGAATGTCTATGCATTCGTTGTCATCACACACAAATGCATCTCATAGAGAGGCATTGAATTCAGACCTTCTCTATGAAAAAAACATGTTGGAGGATTATGGTGATTAGCACACATGCACCCCGTTATCACTTATGCATGTCCAAACAGAACATCCTGTAATGAACCACTGATCTGCTCTCTTCTAACCACTGTGCAGCAGTGGCCCACGAAGCACCTCTAGTGGCCATCTGAGGGACTGCCATTACAGGTGATAATGGACAGTATGTAAACACAGGCAGTCCCCCTGCAGGCAGATATACAGTTACCTATTGCGGCCATGTGATCGAGCGATCACGTGGCCGCGGGGAGACTGTCTGGGCAGACAGGCAGTCCCCCCAGACCAAGCGAAACGCTGATCGCTGCTGGGGTAACGGTGGTGATCAGGTAAGCACCCCAATACCGTTATGACGGTTCAGGACCGTCACTGGTCCTCAACAGTCATCGGTCCTTAAGGGGTTAATGGGTGATGCCCATATTATAGGTGAATGTGGCAAGTTTACCCATTCCAAGAATAAGAGGTATGTTTTGCATGGCAGCCTTGGTTATTTGAAGGCCTCTGCTAAGAACAATCATATATTCACTTTTTGAAAAAAAAAAAAAAGAGGCTGGGGCTCTCCCCTCATAGTTACAATGGGCACGAGGGATACAAAAACCCACTTTTGTCTTCATTCCTTCATTCAGCACTGTGAGGTGAATATAAAACAAGCCATTCCTGCCTCCTCCTGATCATTAGATAATTTATTATTTACCAGTGGGTGCTTAAGCAGCCAATGGGTCAATATTTATTTGGAGATCAATTTCGTGCCTCAGGATTTATTGAATTGCGCTCCACAATTCAGTTGTTGAATTTATGTTTGACTTTGTTTTGCACAAAGATAATGTATTGATTCAACCTGGCAGCAGATTTACTGCCTACATAGTAGGCACCAAATAAGCCTGTTTGTTTTACAGTTTTTAATCCTACATGTGCGAAGTCCAAAAACTTTACAGAACATGACATGTTCAATAACATTTCATGGTGCCTAAAATGGAAAATGGAGGTTTCTGTGCTTTCTACTGTACTGCTCAGTACTATTTTATTGATGTAATTTTCTTAAAAAGCACCAGTCATGCCCCAAAACAATTTATGCTCATTAGATTGAGAATAAGATTTTATCGATACATTGGGCTAGCAGTTTTGCTAGCAAATGTATACATTAGGAGAAAAGCCTATTTAAAAATAGGATTTCCTCCTAGCTGCCAGTCAATGCCTCGGCATCCCGAGCATTGACTGACAAGAAAAAGCAGAAAAGACCTCCTACAGGCAGTCCCTCTGCTCTCTACCCATAGCAACCACAGTGCATGCACTATGGTTACTATGGGAACTCTAAATGCTGCTTTTTTCTTTTTTTCTTTTTTTAATGTTGGCTAGGGAGTATAACAAAATGATGTGACGTTACTCTGTCCTGACGACGATACACTGGCACCACAGCCAGCATGCCAACGTCACCGATGAGTTTTGCCCTGTTTGGGCATAGGTCCCAAGCAGGGCAAATCAAAGAAGGATTGAGGCAGAGCGGAGGATGCAAAGGGGTGAATCTACTTATGAGAAAAAAATTAAAAAATTATTTCTGCTTTGATGGAAGAAGTTAACCATAAGTAAATGCTGCTATGTATAATTATCAGGAAAAGAAAATTGTGGGAAGTATGAAACAATTTTCCTCTTTATCTAATCTGTTACCCCATAGTTCCCTGCTTCTGAATCTCATTTTACTTTTGTTCCTGAGTGCTCCAAGTAGGGACTACCGTTCCTTATGTAAAGAAGTCAAGTTGACAAAACTGGATAATGGCAGAAAGCTCAAAGCAAGACTCGGTTTCCATTGCCAGTCAAATTTACCCACAACTCATCAGTAAAATATGTTCCACAGAACAGCAAACATCTTAGCAGAGAACAAAATGGCGGCACCCAGATCTAGCACAAGGAAGAAACGATAATATAAATAAATGCACGTTGCAAGAAGGGGGTATAATCATTATAGTACAAGGGGCTTTAGAAAGGCAAATCCACAAGAAAAATTATAGTGCCTTTTTTTTAAAAAACATTTTTTTTTAATTCTTTATTTTTGTAGTGCATATGTGTTGAACAGACATGCGTGTGGTACCCCAACAGCACTCCACACATTAGTTTCATTACAATTATAACAATGGGGTATGCAATAACAGTGCACACATTTTTAAGTATAAAGGTTGTCGTGTAACTGCGCATATTCTGAGTCCAATGTTAAGTAATACGATCAACTTACATAAGCAACTTTAGTGAGTGTTCAAACTTTAAGTAGGCTTGTTCGGCATATTGACTAGTTGCTGGCGTCGCAAATCATGTATATATGCACATTCCAGTGTGCGCTACAGGCTAGTTCTAAGTGCTGTCTTCGCATTCGCTTGCTAATCGGTTACAGGTTATTATAGTTAAGGAGTAAGTAATGTAGATGGGCAACAAGCCTAAACTAAAACAAAACGTTTCGGTCTAAACCTACGTTCTGGGTGAATGCTAGTGTGTATTTACACAGATTTCCGTGAGTCATTAACATGGTAGAGAACAAGCTGAGGTAACATTATACTGGGTATTGCTGTTCAGTCGTTTGAATGCATATCTACTTAGTAAATGAGTAGAGGTAAGCGCAACGCTATGCTGGGGCGCACAGTGTGTAAGCATGCTAGGTCTATACAATATTCTTTAAGAGTAAGTAAAATACAATACAGGAGTATGCTGCATACAAGACAGAGCCTTTGAGTAAAATGTCATATGAGCTTCACTGTCCTATATATTAGCGTATAAGGGATGTGTTTGGTAGTATAGAGCTGTGACTAATATGCATCAGGGTAAGAAGGCAATGGTAAGAATCTGTCCATAATCAGACTACTTGCAGTTAACAGTTTAATCACACAAAAGGATCTGTGTGTCCTGTGCATGCTGTGAGCCTCCCTGCAGACTGCTCAGCCGATGCCCTGTAGTGGGAAGCTACAGGTGTACAGGTGTCTGTCTCCCTCGTTTGCGAGCGTGCAAGGGGTTAAAGCCTGTGGTTGTTCTCGCTGGACCCTTACTGAGGCCCCTGTGCGGTGTTCACCGTTCTGGTGAGTCTTGCTGTCGCAGGCTGGGGTTCGGGGGTTGGTGAGGTTAGCATGGAGGTCGGAAGTCTCCAAGGTCTCTGCGCGGTAGACAGCTTGGGTATGCTGGCTGGCTTTGCCCTGGTGTGTGTGCGAGTGAGCGCCAACGCATGCGGGACATGTAGCCTTTTCCCGCTATCTTGTTTGCCGGTGCCGTCGGGAGGCCGCCCTAGTGGTACTTGGCGGGAGTCCACACAGGTGTCACCGGATTGCTGGGCGAATCCATGCTGCCGCCAGTCCCCTTGCTAGTTTAAAGGCCTGACCTTTGGCCCTGAGCTTCGTCCAGAGGCTTGCGCAGAGCTGATCAAAGAAGTCCAAGGTGTGCTTGGGTGGCTGTAAACGGGTGCGTTGCGTCGCCAGCCGTGCCCGTAGCGCCATCTTGCCTGAGCCCTGGCGGTTTCGTTTCACCACAGTTTTTGTCGCTTGTTCACGTAGCTTTGCGGGGATGGGCACCCCCTGCATGGACCGGGATATTCCCTGCCGGTCCAGAGGGGGGCGGTGGCAGGGCAACGTTTGATTCATGCTTGTGAGCGGTTCTCTTGCCAGATCATCGGTCGCCTCCCCCATGCTTTAGGCTCCGCTCCTGTTTAGGCCTCATGGTTGGTTCAGGCACTCGTTTCCTGTTTTGATGCGGGACAGGTATCGATATGTTCCGTGCAGGGTCCTGTATCGATTCCTTGGCACCATGCTCTGCTGACATTGCCCGGTAGATCGGGATTCGTGATTTTGTGCCCGCTGGTGCCGGAGCTGTCAGAGAGTGCGTCCGGCCATCTTGGCAGTCAGGCCCCGCCCCCCGATAGCGCCTTTTTAAAGGGAGATTGATATAAATTTTTTTTTAAAAAAGTGTTTGTTGCTGGTGAAAGAACTGTGTTGGACAAAAAAAACAGGCAGGGAAGCAGAGAATACATAAGTGTCATCTTCATATATAGAAGATACAGAAATCAAGTCATAATTTGATTGTCAAGTGGAACATAAAGTGTATAAACACAAGGGATCAGAAATAAACCTTACTGAAGTAGAGATAGGATGAGACGAAGAAACAACAGTGTCAAGGAGACCATAAAAATTAAAGTGGCAATCTCATGTGTTTTTTTTCCTTTCAGTAGTAGCCTTGCATCTGATTAGTTATACTCCTCGCTTGAAATATGCTGCAAACACAGCATATATGTATTCTGCTACTGTTCTAGAGTACAATGATACCCCACATGTATACCGTAACTTTTCCCTTAACACAACCCCTAATCCAGGGGTTTTCAAACTCCAGTCCCCCAGATGATGCTGAATTACAACTTCCATGATTCTTTGAATTACATAGATAGCCAGAGAATCATGGGAGTTGTAGTTCAGCAACATCTGGGGGGCCGGAGTTTGAGGACCCCTGCTCTAATCCTATCCATAATTCCCAATACCGCCTCTCAAGGGAATCCCTCTGCTGAACCTTCTATACAGTGTGATTGCAGCATGAGAGACCAGTACTAATCCTGCAACAGAGGGGCAAGCAGGGAGCCCTCCCGGGTGTCTTTTCAGAGCCTGGGGGTCTCCCCGACACAAGGGGTGGACAGTGACAGGATGCAGGAGGGCGAAATTGACTAGTAAATTTACAGCGGCAGCGAGATCAAGCTACTGCAACATTTAAAGATCTATAAGCAGCGTTCACTTTGAGATCCGACGGTATAATCCAAGCCTAAAGCTCACTTTCTCACTGACAGGGGGCCAGAGACCTAAATAAGCACACCAGTACTATAATGTCAGGAATACAGGTTTGTATTCCTAACATTATTGTGTTCCTTTAGGTGCTTGAAATATCTATAAAAGACTGCAATGTTAGTATTAGTCTGCAGGTGGCGATAAACATTCAGTGCATAGCTTTCAGGAATTTGTTATGTTTCAAAAAGAAAAACAGGAGACAAAAGAATACAGGTTACAACCTCTTAAAAACAGTGGATTCCCTTAAAGCGGCACTGTCATGGCCATACCTGTTTTACTTTGGGGGGGGCAGGGGGAATTGGGGTACATTACAACAATGGCTGCTCATTGTTGTAATAGTGGGGTCACCTATTAAAATAACGGGGGACAGTCGGACATAGTGTTCCCCACAAGACACCGTGCAATGTGAAGGTGGGGAGTAATTGTAAAAATAAAGCCCCCCCATCAGTGACTAAGAGCCCCCCTCTATTAAATACAGTTCTACTTATCCCCCTCACCCTAATAATATCAATTTTGGTCTTTCAGCCTTTTAGTAGATTGCTTTTTATTGGGGAGCAATTTACTAAACAGCTGGAATTTCATTCTTTTGAATTAAAAAAAAAAAATGCCATAATCTCGTCCTAACACAAATTGACTAAGTGTCCCAAGAGACCCCCCCTCTATTAAATACAGTTCTACTTTGTCTTATGTTTTAAAGAAAACTAGATCAGATGGGAAGAAAAGAAAAACTGATTCTGCGAGAGGAAGAGAATAGGAAACATCGAATTTTGATACATGCTTGCTTTACTGTACTTTTCCACTTCCATATTTAATAGTTTAATATCTTGATATATTCTTTGATATAATATACCATAAAAAAGAAAAATGTATGTTGAAATATTTGAAGAAATCACTATCTTTCCCACTCCCCCTTTCAGACAGCCATCTTTATGTACCTTTGGCCGGACTGTGACTTGTTTGACCCGATGCTCACTTATTTGCAAGTCTGTTGCTTTTCAAAATTGTGTGTTTCTGCCTACAGCTTTCAGGGGATTATGAAAAGCAACTTAACACTGCACAATAGGAACATAAGGTCAGATAATTGATAATGTGACAGAAGGTGCTTAACTATAGCAGTCTCAAAAGGGAGTCAGGAAGGTACAGTAAGTAAACTTAAAACATTTCAGCATACATGAATAAAGATATAAACAAAATAGCATATTCTAACAGATGAAAAGGCATTAAAAACGTTTCAGTGATCCTTTACGTGAATCCAATACGCTCATAATTTTTTAAAGGACAGTTAGGGCTTTTTGACAATACATACGTATGTGTTTTTGTGAATGATCATTTAGTATGATTAAAATATATAAAAACGGGTGAAAGCACGAAAATATAATTTTTTTGTAATATGGTAGTATTTTTTTTATGTAGCTAAGAAAAAGAAATACATCAAAATGTGTATTTGTTCTAATGTTTGAATAAATCAAATGCCTAGATGTTTTTGGGTAACAGGTTCCAAATTACTGTATTTCTAATATAACATTTTCGAAATACATTGGAACCTTGGAACTGGAACGCTCCCTTACCCAAAGAATTCAGTAAAAGGGAAGAATCTCTCATTATTACAATTTTGTTTTTTAAATAAACGGAGATGCAGACGCCATGGATCTGCTATTCGTAGGGAATCCCTGTTTGATGTTATCTCCATGGCTTTCCTGCTGTACATTGTGAGATCTAAACATCAGGAGGAAAAACACTGTTTCTCTCCCTGTACACTGTATAGCTCTGTGACAGGCTCAGAGAGTCTGTTTTTAGGCTGCAGTTTGCTCGGCCCGATCACACATAGGAATCAGACACCTCTTTCTGCATTGAGACGGATGTCTGATCACAATGGTGGTTTGATCAGACACATGAAAGGTTACAATAAGACTATCAGGGTCTCTTTAGGTCCTGTGGGTCTCCCCCGATAGGACATGGCGAGTGCATGGCTAAACACAGATTTTGGCTATGATATTTTCAAATGGGTGTATCCGCGCTCACTTTGGGCACTTTTCATATCCCTTCTGTCAGCTTGTGGCCAGTAAGCCCAATATCTGTTTGTACCTGGACTCCATGGTGCACCCAAGGATTTAACCCTGCTCACACCAAAGCTGGAAGGAAAGTAAGTTCCACTCTATCCCAAGAGGTGTTAAAGCCTACTATTTCTAGGACTGCATAAAAGCCCTGTCATTAAAGGGTTACGATTGATTGTCCACTGTAGAGGAAACACTAGGCGTACTAGAAAATATAATTAGGGAAGAAAAAAAGCTAAACATGGAAAAAAATAAAGCATTAATTGGATACTGCATGGATTAGAAGCACATTGTACTGTAGTGGTTATGGTGCCAGGAGTACTGGTTCAACATAATCATATCACCTCACACCAAGAGTTTTAACATTTGCTGACACTCCGTTACTGAATAACACCCCAACATTATACGAGTTGGTATACTACCTTGGAAGCATTACCATACCAATTAGTAATTAGTGAGATATGCAAGAGCTACACATGTTTGGCACGTGACTTTAAATAACTATATTAAGTCAATGTTGCTACTTTTCAGAAAACTTCAAGAAGCGCAGTACTGCCCATCTACACCAGGAGTAGGCAACCTACGACTCTCCAGATGTTGTGCACTCCATTTTATCTGATGCTTTGCATTATGTCTGTAAGATGTGGTCCACAACACTTGGAGGAGTGCAGGTCGCCTATCCCGGATCCAAACTGTTATTTCTATTACCTCAACTGAGTATGCCTTAAAGTTGAATATTTAGATAATAGAAGGAGGGGGGGCACAAAATAATACAATCTGCCCTGCTTACATCGCAAGAGTTAATATTTCTGGATTCGCTAAAAAGGAAATGTATCTCCGGTCTTCATTTTGATATGAACAAAAAAGAATTTAGGTTTTAAAAGGGCTAATTGCTTTTTGCATTTCACTCCAGAGGAAAAGCCATGTTTACTAGAAAATCTCCTTTGGATGTGTTTACACATATCATAGAGAAACGTGATAGCCAAATGTTAGGGTCCAATAGACTTAATTATTGCTTTGTCTTAAAAACATTTTTAAATAGACATGGAGACATTCATTTAAACATCACTAAAAGCTTATCACATGCCTCAAAGTGGTAATTACTTCCTAGACATGATTTAGGTCCATCATTTAGACAGCTATTTAAGGTTAAAATGAATCTGTAATTAAAAATTGGATTAGCAGTTTAGACTCTTGACTACTATAGTAGTTTGCACAATGTTCAGTAATGTTTTACAGGATATTCTGTTTCGTCTGTATAATTCATGATTGGAGTTGAAAACCAAAGAGATTTTTGTATTGATGTTGGTAGAGGAGTTTACATTTTGAGGGACATTACAGGGTACTAAAAAACATATTTAAAACCATACACTGATGAGCAGGGCTCAACAAATCCCGGGCGCCAGGTCGACTAGAAATTTTGCCCTGGTGCCTGGGATTTGTCATCCTTTTACCTAAAGTACCCGCCTGCGGGAGCATGGAAGCTGTCGGCTCATGGAGCGTTGTAGCCAGCCTGCTTGGAAATCTCTATGGGTAACATTCAGCTCCAGTGGCCGTCTAAGTGACTATCAGTAGAGGTCTTAGTAGGCAGCAAAGTAAACACTTTTCCCTGAAAATGCAGCGGTTACATTGAAAAGGCTACAGGGACAGGCTAAGGGCACCAGAACAACTACATTAATCTGTAGTGGTTCTGGTGACTATAGTGTCCGTTAAAAAGCAGAAGTCTTTACTCACCGTAAATTCTCTCTTAATATGGTGGCAGTACATATGGGTTGTGGTTCCTAATTGGGACAAGCATCTTCAAGATAGGGGATTAAGAAAAGTCCCTCCCCTTTACCCTATAAAGGGCTTCCCCAGCAAACCCACCTCAGTCATAGCAAGAATACACACCTAATCCACACACTGCAAGCAAAATTGTAATTTAGAGGGAGGGAGATTTTAACTGCCACCATATTAAGAAAAAAATAATTTATGGTGAGTAATTTTTTTTTTTTACACATATGGTAACAGTACGTATAGGATATAACAAGATTCCCAATCGGGTGGGCCTTATGCCTAAACAGCTTGAAGTACCTACGCCCTAACGCAATTTTAGAGGCAGAGAGTACATCTAGCCTGAAAATGCCTGACATTTTGTAAGGTGCTAAAAGCTGACCAAGAAGCAGCCATGATGATTTCATCGGGTGAAGCAAGAGCTTTTCTCTGCCCACGAAGTGGCCATTGCCTTTGTGGAATGCGTTGTGAAAGACACTGGCGAATCAAAACTACTGAAGCATAGGTCATATGATGGACGAAATAAAGAGAAATAGAATTATGAGAGGTTTCATTCCCCTTAAAACTGTCCTAGAAGTTAACAGGTGATCTGATCTGAGTTTGGCTTGAGAGGTACATCTGAAATGCCCTTTTTAAACTCTAGAATATGCCAACTAGTTCCAGCAGGGAGTTGGCATAATTATAGAAGGATGAGCTGATTAACGGCTCTAAAAGATAACTCTGGAAGAAGTAAAGTTTTAGGATGAAACAACTTTCACCCTGATGGAATATTAGAAATTCCGCTGAAGATATATCCTGAAGCTCGCTTACTCTCTTGGCAAAGGTAATGGCCACTAAGAATGCTGGTTAAGCTTTAGCATATTAAAAGGAACCCCTCCAAAGGAAAAGGGGACCTGAAAGACTGAAGAAAGATCCCAGGAGGGAAACAGAACTTCCTGGGTGGCTCAAGAAGCCTATTGCTTTAAATAAACTTCTAACCAGTATATACGAAGACCAATCCCTTCTCAGAAAGAACTAGAAGACAATAACGTTCTACCCAACTCTACCCAAATCCTCATGTAAAAGGTTAGAGGCGGAACGACGAAGATTATACGCAACAAGTGGACTGACTCATGAAGACTCAGGAGATGAAGGATCCACCATGCAGTGCCCTACCGTCAATAAGAACCTATTCAACACTACCAGTAGGATATCCTGTCTTCCAAAAGTGTTTGAGATCGGAAGATCCCCAAACTTGAAAGTCATCAGCACCAAGGCTGAAAATTGGCTTGTGTTTGGCCAGTATGGAAAGATTGGCAGAACCACTGCTCTTATATAATAAAAAAAAAAAACTAAAAAACTTGGTGCTCACTATATTCTTTAAGGCAGCAGTAAATCTAACAAGGATTCCCCAAAACCTTGTAGGATTAGAGACAGAAGACAAATACAAAAAATAGATAACCGCACCTTAAAACACAGTAATGTACAAAAATAAGGTCAAACAAATCATATGTACATACATTTTTGTTCAAAGTCTATGAATTTGGCTGTTATACAGTGCATGGTATCTCAAAGAAAAAGAAACAAAAATAGTGCAGTATGTCTTTAACTTAGTACAGTAGAGTGCTATAGCAAAAACTCACTCAAAATTTATAGAGCTACAAAGAGCTCTGCTGTGTAGGTTATAGATGGTACAATCCCCGTCACTGGATATATTTTCAGCTACAGTGGTGGTAGAATAGACAAAGACAAAAATTAGGATATCAACTAGTGCAATCTGTATATCAAAGTGGTAGTGGATATATGAAAAGGTAGGTATCTTCTTCACATGAACTAGAGCATATACCTGCTCTAGTATACAGCGCTTTGGTGGCATGATCCCCACCTGGGATATATGTCGTTTAGGAAGCCAAAAAAATAATAATTTATATTTAAAAGGATTAATATGATAAAATAGATACATAATATAAACACACACACACGAAAAAAAAATAAAAAAAAAAAAAATAGAGAAAGTGAGGGAGAGCTTGTATAATATGTACAACAAGCGAGCCATACAGAGACTAAAAATTCCCCCTAAAATAGTACATAAATACATTTATTGTGCTGAGGTTGTAGGTGATGACATTGTCAACACATCATGAGTGGAATGGAGAGAGGACCTCCCAGAGATCTTGAGCCGAGTACACAGTTTTGGTACATAGCTGAAACAGACCTTGCCTGTCTGTTGTTGACGTGAGGGAAACAGTGTTGTGGTCTGACTGCATTGTAATAGGTCCCTCAAATCAACAAATATCTGAATCGGTGAGGGGAGTGAAAAACTGCCTTAAAAGCTCTGAAATTAATGGACTATTTTTCTTAGGACCAAGAACGCTGACAGAGAATTTAGACATGCGACCCAGCCTGTGTTCGATGCATTCTGTGGTGAAACTTACGCCTTCTATAGGCAGAAAGGACAGCTTCTGCTTTTTTCCCCAAAGAGTGTTTAGGAGACAGAAATCCAAAAGATTTCCACACTTTGACCCAGAGGAGAGAATTTTCCACTGTAGCGGCCACATCCAGATTTTGCCCAAAAGATTGGAGGAATTGAAGATGTCAGACATCCCAGCAATCCCATTTCCTGTCCTTATGGAGGAATTTTCACTTTATTAATAATTGGACCTTTCCTTTAGGACTGCAGTAAATGCAGAGGTAATGTTTTAAAGTTAACATGAACCTCAAAAACCCCTATGTTTCCTGGAGAAGAAGAAAATACTTTATAGTCTCCGTATCCAACAGTGTTGCTGTAGCGCTCTGCTAGCTACCCAAAACATACTTAAAGGGCAAACATCCCAATAAGCAATAAGTAGCCAAATTCCCAAGTAGGGAATGCCTCGTTCCCTAAAATATGCTGTTATGGGAGCGTTTTGAAAAGCAATGAGATCTCTACAATCCACGTATTATGGCGTATTTTCAGATAACTTATTGAGGGGCCGCAATAGGGATATGTGGGAATATATCTCTGATTTATATACACCATGAAATTCCTTTCTGCAGAATCAGAGTTATAGAAGCAGAAGTTCAAATTCTGAAGCTCAGGAGAGCAACCAATTTGTTTAAATTCATAACCGGTTTAAAGGAATGATCAGAGTTTGATAATCAGGAGATTCCTGAGGAACCCAACAAACTTCATGTTTTCACAGAACCATATATCAAACTCCTTGAATCCAACAGGAACACTGTTTCTGTAAATAGAGTATCAGATGTTCGCAAGATTATGGATTGGGCAGATTTTAAAAGAGCAAGCGGTGCCCTAGATCAAGCAATCCGTGATTGCAAGTAGGGTACACTAAAAAGCCAGGCAAGAGACATTAAGATAAATACTGGTTCCCAAATGCATCCTGGGAATGTTAAGTGACTCCATTGAATGGTACTCCAGTCATCTATCTCAAAGGGATGAAGGGTTGAATCAACCTTGCAGGGAAAACAAACCTGTGAACCCCAAGGGTTGAACAATGTCTAAACCCACTGAGCTATCAACACTTCGTATAGAAATGCAGGATTACACCTCCAAGCTTCTTGGTGTCCGAAACGCCTACCCATGTCCGGCCTAGTTCTACTTGTCTTGAGGTACAGCTTTTTTTCCCCTTTTCCGACATGGGAGTAAACAGGGGATCTAAAAAGGACGCTGATCGTCCGTCCAAGATTAAGCCACCAGGATATAAGGGAAACAGATCAACCCATGAGCCTGGCAGTCATTGTCAAATTTTATTAGTCAAATCCATATAAAATATGTGACAATCTCAAATTAAACAGGAAACTGACAAGCTGCTTACCAGGAGACTTAAATAACCTCCATTAACGATTGTAAACAAAGTTATAAGTTTTGGACACCGCTGCACCTGCCAGCAAAGACCCATACTGAAACCCAACAGTCTGGAAAGATTGCCTGCAAGATGTCTCAGCCTTCTTGATGACAGGGTTTTTAAAAGCAGCTACTTCTGCAGAATTTTATGGATTCCCAGTGTAACATTCACCCATTTGATGGTAAACATATTAAACGTCGGGCAAGAAAGGCTCGTTACACATAGTATTCCCATTTCTGTATATAAGAAAGACATGGGGTTTGAGGAACAGATAACCCTCATTAAAAGTTTAGCAGATTTATCCTGCGCCATGACCGATACATTCCTAATGAACCTTCTCAGTACATCAGGTGGGAACCAACTCCACACAGTATGATGAACCAGACATGTCTTAAGAAGAGGTAGATAAACATTCGCCAGACATTAGTAGTAATCGAAGGACGCTTATCTTCGGTACCTGCGGAACATCTCAGGCAGAGCAGCTGATACACTATTTGATTCTCTATAAGAATTCATAGATAGGAATGATTGCATATTCTCTGCTTAATATTACCCAAGAAATTGCAGCACCTTGGTCATATTTATAAACCGCAGAACCATAATAAGGGGAGTAGCACAGATACAATAAGCAAAGCAGAGTATAGCAGAGGCATTCCACGGTGTACAAACAGTCCATCTTGCACATACAGTCCACTTTCTGCAAAAATATTCCATCCATAACTTGCAATTTTAAGCAGAACAGATTAAGGCAAAGATCAACTAATCTTACCTTGAAAGCCACTGAGCCGTGTGGGGGGTTGGTGACACCGGGAACCCTTCTGACAAGCTTCCTGCTGCCAGAGGGAACAGCACAGCGCACTCAGCGGTTTCCCGGAAGTTCCAGTTCACGCATGCCGGAACATACTCCGCGCAAAGTTAAACAAAGGGCTCTGGAACCTCCCTGGACGGAGCCATACCGCACAGCCTACCACCTGGGCGGCAATTGGGCTACCTCCCCCAGCAACCTGTATGCCTCACCTCCAACAGACGCTTGATCTGTCCTGTGCTGGGACAAGTAAGAACTGAGGTGGGTTTGCCAGGGAAGCCCTTTATAGGGTAAAGGGGAGAGACTTTTCTTAACCACCTATCTTGCAGATGCTTGTCTCAATTAGGAAGCACAGTACTGCCAACACGTCAGGAAAAAAAAAAATGGCTCCTAACTTTTTTAGCTGGCTCCTAGATTAAGTAAAATTTGTCAAGCCCTGGGTTAGAGCACAGGCTACTTGTATGATTTACATATAGGTGTAAAGGGATTTTCACTTCAACACACAGTTAATATTTTTGGTTTTAATCTATTTTGTTTACGCAGTGGTTTACTCTCCACAAGACCTATTCATTTGTATGGGCTCCTAAGAAAATCCACTTTAGTGTCAGAGGTTTTGAATACAACCAGAGAGGCATAAATGTAGGACTTCCCTATATAGGCTGCCTGGACGTTATTGGCAGGTGAGCATAAACTTTTAGGGACGTTACAATAGTACTTAAAACCTGGGATATTTAAAAAGTGATCATTGGGGTTTATAAAGTATACACAACATTTGTTTATTTTTGTTTTCCACCTTAACTAAAAATAAAATTGTTATGAAAAGTGATAAGATTTCAAATAAACATTAAACCTTCACATGTTGCTTTTTTAAGGTTCATTGGATTAGATGCAAACAACACACTTAAATGTCCACTGCAAAAAGTCATCCTCTAGTGAAATAATTTTATGTCCAATTTCTTAAATAGTCCCTTAAAGATATAGAAACAGTAGCAGATTTACAGAAGCAATTAATGAAAAGTAAAAAAATGAAGTTTTATTTTCCAATGATTTGGTTATTCACAGAACAGAGAATAAAAACCGAATTGCCAATTAATGAATGTTATGAGAAACAGAAAAGGATGATTAGTTTTCTTGCACCCCACAAATGACAGAAATTGTAAGTTTTTATTGGACAAAACGCAGAAAAACAGACAAGTATGGATTTACCAGTAATATTTATTTTAAAAAGTACAGAAATGTCACAAACTACCCAAAATATTACACAAGTGAAAGCCCTTAGCGTACATTTTTTTTTCCTTAAAAAAAATAAAAATAAAATAATTGTCACAAAAGAAAAAAAAAAGAAAAAAATAAAAATTAGGAAAGCTATAAGCAGGATCTAGCATTTATTACTCTTACTATTGTGCAAAAGAGCACAACTCCCATTATACTGTGAAAGCATCGTGGGAGTCAAGCTGATCAGCTTATCCTGTTTAGTGTGTTCTGGCAGAGTCAATGTGTAAATAGTTATTAGATAAACTGGAAGAAAAGTCTATTGTACTTCAAATATGTAGTACAAATGTGTTGATATAATGATATCGGAGCAGAGTTACTGATTTGAATAATGGTTTTAAACGTATTACTACTGGGGGCAAAAAAAAATAATAATCAAGATAAATATATTCATACTATTTACACAACTGCCTTTGGAAATCAGCAAAATGTTTCATAAAAAAGTCCATCTTCAGGTTTAACAGCCTGAAAAATTACACATGCAATGTAGTTTTAGTAGTTAAATAGACATGTAACAAAGTGACTAGAAGATCTGGTCTCACTAAAGAATAAAAAGGTTACCCAAAGTAGATTGTATAGAATTTACAAAAAAATACAAAAATGTTTTGACAAACTTTTTTTGTAAATCATTTGACATGTTAAAAACACTAGAAATCTACTACTTTACAGCTGAATTTTGTCCAAGAAAGAAGGCAGGAAAATGCAGCGGGAGAACCATTAGTCACACTCAGGATGATCTTTTGGCAATATCCCAAGCTCGGTATTTTATTTGCCAATTCGCTTTCATTTTGAAAGAGCACATTTAATTGCAAGTGTTTGAATTCACCCTGGTTGTGAGCAAGGCTTTGACAAAGACAAAATGTAATCAACGTGAAGTAGGGAAAAAAAAAACAAAACAAAACACGTACCTTCACATTCAAAGCACCTTTGAAAAAGTTAGGCACACACGTGGTTAAAGAGATACATTACTGCATGAGGCTTTAGTTATAAAGGCACCGGTTAGGGTAAGATAGATATGTGTTTCACTACAACAACTGACCGGAAGCTGGCATGAAATGTATGATCAATACAAACAAATATACATGAAATGGTAACCGGCAAGAACAAAACAAAACAACTATTGACCTTTCACATGCAAAAAAAGATATGACTTATTAAAGTGGTAAATGCTATTGCAGTGATCCTCAGCATTTTAGAAGCAATACCACCATTTTTAAAACTTCTCAGATCATATACTTAGAAGTCTTTCAGCAACTGGTGCGATCACACTAAAACATGTAAGCCTTTCAGAAAAAGCAATACGGAACACTGCTTCCATTTTAAGTTATTTCAAAAAGATTTTGTTTAACCCCTCAAGGACCAAACTTCTGGACTAAAGGGGAATCATGACATGTCACACATGTGTCCTTAAGCGGTTAAACTTGTGATTGATTAGTGTGTATTTCAACCCAACCCCTTTCACCTTTCCATTGGTAAATAATCTGGAGACATTTTAAAGCAAATTAAAAATTAAAGCACAACACTTAACTCTTTCCTGCACTTCAACAAGCATACCCAAAACTCATGCAAGTAGAGGCTGCAAACAGACACAAGCTTGTCTCGTGTACTTTGAACGTCCTCAAAATCATACAGAGCTATACATGCAAATCTAATACTGGACTGGCAAAAAACCCTCAAATAAGAGTACAAACTCATAACTGTGTTTCAAAAACAAAGTCCAGTTAAATGGTGTTCAACCCAATAACAGCACATATACATAATAAAAAATTGAAAAGGAGGGGGTAGCCTATATCAAGATAAACTACATTTTAAGTTTCTGAAACGTGAATAAGTTAGGTTTGCCAATTTTTAAATAACTGGAGGAACCCACATAATTTGTGAACATCGCATGCTAGTTATGTCCAGTTTCACTTTTCTGCTTTCAATATTTTACCAACATCGGGGGCATGTTAGGAAAAAAAATAAAATGACAATACAAATGACATAGTGGTGCTGCCAAGGCAAATAAAGATAGAGATGGAAAAATTGTACATTTGCAAACCTTCACACACATCTGTAGACTAAGTGACCATTTTATCTCATTTACACAATTGAACCATCTTTGTTTTGTGCTGGAATCATCACAGGAATGGCTCCCATTCTACTCAGATTTGGACCAGCTACCTTAGGCAACACGAAGTTTGGTGTTTGGCTTGGGGGACGTTCTTGATCTTCATTAGGTACTTTATTGTAAAGAGATTTGGAGTATCCATCTATGTTTGATGGGGACAAAGATCCCAATGAAGAATGATTGCTCCCGATATAACTGCGAGCGGTTGAGGTGCGGCTTTTAGGAGGGGCGACATCTTCTCTGTAATGGCAAATGGCAATACATGCTTATCGACATGAGCTGCAAAAGCTGCGCAATCTAGTTCACAAATATATAAGAAATTACATTACAGCACTACGGACTTTGCTGGTGCTATAAAAATAAAATATTAATGTAACATAACATCAGGTTTATATCTTAAAATGAACCTGCAATGCTTATTTTAACTTAAAGGGACACACCACTGCCAAAATAAAAATCACTGTTTAGTAGATATACCACAAATGTAAACTAGCATGCATTTTGTTTTTTGTCATTTGGGATATATCTAAAAATCAGCTTGCAAAACCTGCAGATCTCTAGTCTGCTGCCTTTGTGAGCTCTCCCCTTCTAACTCAGACTTTTGATTGTCTAATCACCTGTTATCCAATACAGCTCAATGAGAAGTCTTTGTAAAGTCAGGTGCTCTAGGCAATTGCTACCTCTTGAGGTACGCTGCATTGCGCTAACGAAACCAGGAAGTAACATTACCTGTTGTCTGCTTGAAGGCCAAGGGGGTGTAACCAGGTTAACTTGTAAAAAAAGTGTCAATTTCTATCGAAATCTGAACTTTTTGCAATATGAAAAAACATAGGACACACACAAAGCTTTTCAAGCTAAAGTTGTTTAGGGGTCTGGAGTGACCCTTTAAACTAGTTCTATTTAGTTCCCTGCATAGAGAATGATCTTTTTTTTTTAAAAAAACTTGAAGTGCATAGAGAATGATCTTAAAGGTGGTTTATTGCAAAAACTATACACTGGCTAGCACAACGTATAGACAGAATAAGGAGAAGATCTAATTTCTGCAAATCAGAAAGTGGGATGACCGGTACCCTTTCAATTTAGGAAAAAAAACTAATTACCAAACACTAAACTGTAGTGGAATAAAAACAGAATTGTAAAATTTAGCTAAAAGTTGATTCTAAAATAATTTCCATCTTTTTTGCTTAAATGTATCAGTTCTGTTTTAAATTTAATACAGTTTGAAGTATAGGAATAAAGCATAAGACTTGGGTTTCTAAATCAGTGCAAGGTCATTATATGCTAAATTTGTTAAATACAGTAATTCCCATGCACAAGCTTACCTGATTTCATGCTGTACTTCCTTCTCATATTTTTTCTCTTTTTTCTTCTTGCAGAAAAAATATACCAGAAGTCCCACAAGCCCGAGACTTAATAATGTTCCAATTATTGCACCAGCAACTATTCCACCAATATTTGAATCTAAAAGACAAATATATATTTTTTTAAATACTGTATTAGTTGGTTTCTGATTTAAAAAGGTACCGTTTAGGCACCACAACAACTCGATCTAAATTGTATAGTGTCAGGAGGCCCCCGGGCTCAATCCCATCTCAAGGTTTAACCCCAAAGATACCGCTAGCGCCAACCTCCGCTCCCCCCAAAAGCATCCGACTTCAAAAAATTTGTGTTTCGGGAAGCGCAGAGGGCGGCCAGGCAGGAATACTGCTGATTGGATGAGTACAGTCAGTTAAAACTCTCAGCCAATCAGTAACACACCATTTTAAAAAAACTGACTTGGAAAAGGCACATTTCTTTCCAAGCCAGTTTAGTGAATGGGGAGTCACCGATTAGAGCTCCTGCCCAGTGGCACTTTGTACTTCCTGAAACTGACATTTCATAACCCAGATGTCACCTGGGGGGTGGGGGAGAGTGGAGGGAGTTCATCGGTGGTTTAGCCTCTTGGGGTGAGAGTCCGCCAAGGGGAAGGGGGCCTCCTGGCACCATAACTACTTCATTTAGATTAAATTTCATGACACACTCCCCTAAAAAGGAAGCAAGCGCTGCAGAGGGGTATTCCAAATGTTAATGTGATAAGTAAATATATGTCTAATGAGTGGCTGGAGCAATAGGACAATATTAGATTCTTGAGATCAAAATAGGATAGAGGCCAAAGGGAACTGAAAATAGGGAGAAATACAAAAAAATCCATATACAATACAAATGTAATATTGTAACATTAGGAGAGAAGAGCAAGAAAAGAAAAAGGAGAGAGGAAAGACAGACAGAAGGGATCAGTCCACAGATAGGAAGGAAGGAAAGAGGAGGACAGGATAGGTGCATGGGGGGTGTGAGGGGGAGTAGAGGAATATGAAAAAAATACACACATTATATATTGGCATATAAATAATCTAACAAGAACAAAAATACATAGTATGGCTTTTACATTTTTAAAATTGTCTGCACTTCATTACAGGTAATGCCATTGCTTAAAAGTGCCTTGCCAGTTGGGTTAAAACATCAACAATTGGTAGTTACGGGTGTACACAAGGACTATACAGGAAACCGTAAACCAACTTAACTCTTCAATGACAGAATGTATATGTCTTATTAAAAATATATAAAGCAAATACTCTTCTGCAAGTAAAGGAGAGGCATGCCTTGTATCACAACCAATTCAGCAAGCTAAAGTATCTGTGGCAAAGAATAAAACTCATGGTTTTGATTTTGCCAAAAGGTTCAAAGTCATTAAATGAATAAAAAAATTAAAAAAAAAACAACTTGAAATTTAAAAGTATATACTTACGAGGAACAGCATCCAGTCTGACCATACACTCATCATTACCAACCCGATTCTTGGCAAAGCATTTATATGTGCCACTGTGTTCTTGAGAAACATTTTTGACAGTAAGGACACCAGTTGATTCATCTAGAAAAACAAACAAGACATTCTCACAAATTTTGTGAGTTTTTATAGGAATCCTGCATATAGCTGGAGAAGTACATTATTTAGAAATTTGTATCTTTACATAATGCTAAAACGCATTCTGAGCAATAAAATTTAAATTCTTTTATACCCAATACTGATCCTTTAGGAAGCGATCGTGAGCCGGTGAGTTTTTGCCACTCATATGTAAGGGGGGCCGTTCCTTCACTTGATCCACATTTAAAGATGAGGTCATTCCCAATTTTTTGTGATCCTTCAATTGAGCATCTTGTTTTTGCTGGCTTAACTGGAAAAAAATAAATAAAGATATAAATACCATAATCAAATTATTCTATATATCACATGCTAGTACACTTTAATCAGTCTAATACACACAAAAAAAGTAAACAGGTGAATTTGTTGACATCTGTAGTTTGATTTCCCTTGAGAAGGAGGAGGAGAAGAATCTCCTACAAAAGCATCTCCTACAGTGTTATCTTGACTGCCAGTAAACAAATATCGAATGAATGCCTAATCGTAACTCATTCCCTGTGTTAGAGATTTATGACAGGTAACCAGAAACAAGCACAACAATGAATTCTTATGTGATGTGAATGATGTTCATTTATCATGTGCATCAATACTTGTGGATATGATTCACCTACCTTATTTTATAACCTACATGGAATGCTATTGGGTAATGGTGGATGTAGACAATAACAGAGCTTACTACATACCACTACGAATACAACTCACGTGTGAAAAAGAATGTTACCATGAAGCTACACTGATATTGTATTATACATGTCCTGAAGTAGGCATTACATTTTTACAAATCTCAGCAGGATGAAAGGCAGTCCTGCATCAAATAGATTATGAGGTTTGAACACACAGTTCATAACTAGTGATGTCCCGAACGGTTCGCCACGGACGGCAAACATAAACAAACTTTGACCCTGTACCTCACAGTCAGCAGACACATTCCAGCCAATCAGCAGCAGACCCTCCCTCCCAGACAGCATCTATTTTACATTCACACACACATACAGAGAATTTTCCACATCACCTATATCCTAGAGTGGGGATCATACCATTTCACGCATTGCTTCTGGAGTCAATATTTAGTCTCCATAATATGTTAGTGTACACCAATTTACACACCTACCCCTGCTAATTACATCAACATACTACACTATATACACATTTTTATTTAATCACTTGTATTTTTTTAAGAGGATACCCATCGCAACAAACAAAACTTCAAGCATTTTTACCATAAATATATATATATATATATATATATATATATATATATATATATATATATATATATATATATATATATATATATATATATAATCATTCCGCCCAGGCATGAGAGTGTACAATTTTTTATTTTCCTTACTCTATCAAGAAGTTTTTAACTTACTAAACTATCAGTCCTTTTTGTTTGTTATTACATATATTCCGTAAAGGACACTTCAGGCACTACACCTTTTCCTGTTTTATAAGCATAATTTGTATAAAAACCATTTTGGCCATCAATAAACAAGCTTGCCAAGGTTAAATTAGGTAAGTACTTACGAAATACAGAAAGACCAATTTTTCTACTTTGCACACCGGGGACTTTCTTCACTTTGCATTGATAAGTACCAGTATCACTAGACTTTAAATTAATAATATCTATGGATGCATCACCATTTGCGGGATCAGTGGAATTAAAATGTACTCTGTTTTTTAGCCCATCATATATTACATATGGCATCCCTCCGCTGAACATAATTATCTAGAAGACAAAAACCATGTGTAAGAAAACAGAAATTGCAAAACCTGTTCTAGTCATTACCAACAATTAAAAAGTGTTGTTTAATTTTTTTTTTACTTTTTATAGAGCGCTCTTATTTAGAGTGGTTTACAATGTATGCAAAAACATTAGTAATTATACAGAGATAAATATTAAGACATACTGAAACAAAAAGAGAACACTGATGTGAGCTTACAAACTATAGGGGAATTGTACATTGGACAAACAGTTGTGGGGATAAAACAATGTGGGTAATCTAACCTTTTTTTGAGAATCGTTAACCATACATAGTCTTTTGATTTGGGACCCCCTTTTTTTTAAAGAAAGATTTGTTATTCTTTTTTCAAGTATAGATATAAATATAAAAGTTATGTGAGAAAACCATAACATCTATAATCCGCTGTATCCCACTGGCTGAGAGCACCATGAACCTAATGAAAGTACAGCTATAATTCAAATCATGTCCAGTGACTAGGCAATTAGGAGTATAACCATTGGTAGCCATTAGACTGCCGTTTTATACACACTTGCTGGAAATTTAAAGAGTAAAATTAGGCTGCTCCTTTAAATTCTTATGTAAAATGTTTAAAAATCTAAATATGATCTCTTCCATTAACTTATTTTCAGATGGTTTATTCTCTATATATCTTTCTTCAGTGTCTCGGTTATTAACTCAATACTAGATAACGTATTTATCTTTGAAGAGAAGGCATGACCATATCAGCCAGAGGACTAAAACCTCAGAAAAATATGAAGTAAAAAAAAAACAAACAAAAAAACCCCACAATTTATGAATGAGTTATTTGGTACATACCTGTTGATCTTCTTGCTGAGTATCTGCGGCCACTAATGCCCAGTCAATATCCAGGGATCCAACATCTAAAGGCCCAACAGTAAATTTGCAATCTAATGTTACTCGATCACCTTCAGGTTTTTCTATCTTTTTCTGATCGGTGGGAACTAATTCTAAGGCTCTTACTGAACCTGAGTAAGGAAAGAGGAAAAAAATAAATAAAATAAAGTATTTAGTACACACTCTTAGTTTATGCATTGGGTTAATCACATACGTGAATTCAAAAGTCACAAATACATTTCTACCAAAGTTGCTACCAATGCGATGAACCTCTCACATACAGAAGCATTTTATGGCATCTAAAAAAAGTTTTAAAAATAAAAAGAGGATTGATGGCTGGGTGTAGATTATATGTTTACAAAGCTCCTGTCGTATCCCCATGGAACAACTAGGCATGTTAAACAGGTGTCAAAGTACCATTATATTAGTTTAATAACACATGAATCATTCACAACTCCCAATAGTCCCAGGTAAGTCAGGACAGTACTAGGCTGGGACCTCTGTTCCAACATATAGGTATGCTCCACTTTGGGGAAATCAGGAGAAATCATTGTGGAGCACAAGCATTTCTATAAAGGCTCTTCCATTGCAGAGGTTTTCTTCCGATGCAAAATGCACCTTTTCAGTGCTCTACACATATGCAGCTCTGGCAGATCGCAGGCAATCAGCCCACCATTCTCCTTTTTGTGTACAATTTGACACTTTTGGCCCTTTGTGCTGTAAGGAATATTCAAAGCACAATAACCAGTAGCATGGGCATCCACGGGGAATCCCCCTGGATTTTTCAGCCAGTTCTGCTATTTTTCATGTGAGACTAAAAATACACTGCAATAGGTGGCGCTGTGTATGAAGAGAGACAGGGAGAGGTAGCTATGTCTTATCCCTGCTTCTCTCTCCTGGGCAGCCTATAGATCAAATAAGTGAGGCATGGGGGGGGCAGCCTACAGATCAGAAAAGTGAGGGATGGTGGGGGGTCAGCCTACAGATCAGAAAAGTGAGGGGGGAGTCAGCCTACAGATCAGGTAAGTGAGAGATGGTGGGGGGGTGGGGGAGTCAGCCTACAGATCAGGTAAGTGAGGATGGTGGGGGGGTCAGCCTACAGATCAGAAAAGTGAGGGATGCAGATCAGCCACAGATCACAGCCTACAGATCAGAAAAGTGGGGGGGAGTCAGCCTGCAGATCAGGTAAGTGAGGGGTGGTTGGAGGGGAGGGGGGAGTCAGCCTACAGATCAGGTAAGTGAGGGATGGTGGTGGGGGGGGGTCAGCCTACAGATCAGGTAAGTGAGTGATGGTGGGGCACAGCCTACATGAAGGGACAGCAAGGATCACAAAAGGTAAAGTAGGGGAAGGGTCTGCAAGGAGCTGGAAAGGGCACAAAATAAGCAGAAAGTAGCAGAAAGGTAAAGGAGCAAAAGGAGCCAAGGAGGAGAGAAGACAGTGTCAGAAGAAAAAGAAGACTGTCAAATGAAGGAGAAGAAATGGAGATTGGAGCAGGGAGTACAATTTAAGTGAACCCTCCATTTTATTCTGGACACCACCACATCATAAGGCTTTGGTACCTGGGCCTGGCAGGTAAACTTTGGACCTTCTCAACTCCCCATGTAAAAAACATCAGTGTTAATGTGTTCACTTTTATTTACTGAGTGTCAGGAAGCACAGAGTGCCGCTGGGTAGGGAAGTAGCTGATTGGCTAGAGCAGTCAGCTGGCACTCTAAGCCAATCAGTAGATCCCCATTCATAAAAAAGTAAAACATTTTTATGAACCGGGAACTAGCGATTGGCTTAGAGCGTCAACTGACCACTCTAACCAATCTGCAGCATCCATGCCTGACATCAATCTACACTTCCTGACACTACGTTTCAGAAGCCGACTACCACTGAGCGACCTGGAGCTGGAGGAAGCCTTTTGGGTTAAACCATTTGAGAGCGGTTTAACCCCTTAAAGGAAAGAGCACCCAGGGGCTTCCTGGCATCATAGCATTTTCATTTAGATGAAGTTGTTATGGTGATGTTCGTTAATTTGCTTAAAGGAACACTATAGTGTCAGGAATACAAACATGTCACCATAGTTGTGAAAACGCTATTCACCCTGGCTTTATGTGATAATGACCATGCCCCTTCCCTTTCACAACACTGTCAAAAAGTGACCAAGCATGGATGTCATTATAATTATAAAAATTATAAAATAAACAACAATGTCCTTAAAGGGACACTATATAGTCAACAGAACAAATACAGCTTAATAGATTGGTGCTGGTGTCTATATCATGTCTTTGCAGGCTTTTTAATTAAACACTTCCTTTCCACTTGAGGAGCTTCCTGCGGCTCTGCATGGAGGTCCTTAACATTCTCCATTGAGATGCATTGATTCAATGAGGAGATACAATTGGCAAAGCGTGTTTTTTTACCAAGCATGGCTCCCAATGCATTCCTACAGGAAAACATTGGATTGGTTCAAATATCAAATTTGATGATCTCAGCCACGTTGGCAGAGCGAGGTGTGGGCCAGTCATTGAGCTCTGCACGGTGCAAAAACAAAAAAAAAATATGTATTATATAGTGTCAGGAATACATGCTCGTGTACCTGATTCTATAAGCCAGTGAAAGGTCGAAAAAGCATCAGTTGTCACTCTCACCCCATTACTGGTGCCCAGTCCAAGGTGTCTGCATAGAAGCCAGAGGAGGAGAAATACATGGAGGACAAAAGCTACTATGAGCACTTTGAGATTGCATCCATAATAAAATGGTCTGACCCCTTAGGGTCAGACAGTGCAAAGGACCTCCATACAGCACAATAAAATTAAGTAGTTATGGTGTAGAGTGTTCCTTTAAGTAGATCAACAGGGTTATTCATTAAAGTGATCATTTCTGGGAATTCAAAGTGAATTTCACATTTCAGGCAAATATATAAAGAATTATCTTGCCCTCAATTTTCAAATTCACTTTTAAAGGACCACTATAGTGCCAGGAAAACACTTGTTTTCCTGGCACTATAGTGCCCTGAGGGTGCCCCCACCCTCAGGGTCCCACTCCAGCCGGGCTGGATGGAGAGGAAAGGGTTAAATCTTACCTTTTTTCCAGCGCCGGGCGGGGAGCTCTCCTCCTCCTCTCCGGCTAAATGCGCATGCGTGGCAGAAGCTGCGCATGCATTCAGCCAGTCTCATAGGAAAGCATTCATAATGCTTTCCTATGGACGCTTGCGTCTTCTCACTTATTTTTAAGATGGCGGCTGCTAAAGCGACACTCGAGCAAAGTCTGCTCCCACACAACAGGCTGCACCAAGACACCATGAAACGACTAGACTTCTGGGAGCAACAACAAGTAGCCCAGCACGCACAGCACACTCTACAGACTAAGGATGAGTGGAGCCACGAGCAACAGGAGGTGAGGGGAAGTCGTTGGGCACAGCGACATTATACCCACTTACTCCCCCTCTATAGGGCCCACCTGGACTGAAGGTTAGGCGGGTGAAAACCAGACAGCATCACCCACACCAACGGAGACCGAAGCACCGCAAGCAGAGGCAAATCACCAGGCCGTTACTCCCACAGGTGGAGGAAACTCGGACTCTAGCAAGGACCGAGTTTGTGGCCAACAGATGCAGGACCACACACCAGCCTGGGGCAAGAAGGTCACCCTCACGAGTACCTACGCACCAGCAGCTCCCTGAGGACCTCCAGCGGGTGCAGACCGTATCCCCTGAGAAGGCATTAGTTAAAAAAGAGACACTACCACAAGACCACAGAGCGCTCATCGTTCTAGTATTGAGCAACTGCTGTAGCTAGGCTGCTTAAGAGGTCTAGATGTTTTGTCACCATCTTACCACGTTGTAACACTGTTTTAGCACTGTTTAATTACTAATGTTTTACTAGTGCCGTCACACTGCAGCTCCAGACTACAGTAATCTATATACATAAGAGTAGCCTGCTTAGACCCATGACACGAAAGGAAAAGAGGTAAACTAGTTGGCACTCCCTTTCAGTAATTCTTTCCCCAAAATCAACCCTGACTACTTATAATCCATAGGGTAGCCAGCTACGTTCTACACCATTACTTCCAGAGTTACCTGTACCTGATAAATGACAAGTTTAGCTAAACCTATGTTATTGTCTATATTTTAAAAGCCAACTCGTATTGCCAATCTAGCGAACAGCAACAGGCTACAGATGTTAATATATATGTATTGTTTCGATGCACTACAAAAATATTACATTTAAAGAAAAAAAAATGTTTTTACAAAAAAAGAAAAAGGCTTAGTTTTTCGACAGACCTGTTCACATTGCCAGTAAGAGGAACAGAGTCGGATTGCAGTAATTCCCAGAGTCATGTTCCATTTGTCTCCATGTTTCTTAGCAACAAGTGCAGTGCTGACCTCGCTCTCCAGAGATTAGTAACAAGCAACAGAACAATGAAAAACAATTCCATGCGATCACACCGCGCCAACAATCTGAGCACCAGCTTAAGTGTACATCCACTAGATTGTAAATTCAAGCAGGGCCACATTTATGCCGTTTCGTTCAAATTCATCTGTTTGCAGTTTTAGATTTACCTAATGAAATTGTACAGCAATCATGTATATTGTTAACACCTTCATTACCAAGCACTTTTTGATAGAAAGAATATTAAAGGGACACTGTAGGCACCCGGACCACTTCAGCTCATTGAAGTGGTCTGGGTGCTGTGACCTTTTTGCACTTAGTGCTGCAATGTAAAACATTGGAGTTCCAGAGAAACTGCAATGTTTACATTACAGCTCTAAGTCTGCCCTCGAAATGGACCTCCAGCCCCATGGGAGTGGGGGCACAAGGGAGGGGGGACCTATTAACCCTATTAACCCTATAGTGCCAGTTAAACAGCTTTGTATTCGTGGCACTATAGGATCCATTTAACATTTGAAGCATATGCATCATTAGCATATAAATAGAACAAAAATAAGATTTAACTGTGCTCAATGCAACATTCATTTGACATACTGTTAACACTTATTAGTAAGCTGTACTATGCCATGCCTTCGGAGTCCTTAAAAACCTACAAGCAAATTACATATAGGTTTATAGCTTTTAAGGCCTGGCTAGTAACACATAACTTCACATTTTATGCTCTGCTAAAGGGACACTAGTCACCAAAACAACTTTAGCTTAAATGGAACACGATAGAGTAAGTAACACAAACATGTATCCCCCCAAATATAGCAAAATCTTAAGTTTATTCCAGTCTGCTGCTGCTGGTTCTGCACCTGATCTGCCTGCTTGGCTGACATCAGAATAAATGTTCTGAGCCATTCACAATGCCTTCACATAGGGAAGCATTGGATTGGCAGAGTGAGTCAGATCAGGTGCAGCGCCAGCACAAGCCAAACACAGCCCAAGCCAATCCGTATCAAGTCAATGCATCTCTACGAGGAAAGTTTATTGTCTCCATTAATGTCAGTCACACTTGCAACACTATCACAGGAAGCACCTCTAGTAGCCATCTGAGGAGTAGCCAGTGGAGATATTCCTAAAATGTAAACACTGCCTTTTCGCTGAAAAAAACGGTTTACTGCAAAAAGCTTGAAGGGACTGAGTATACTCACCAGAACAAATACAATAAGCTGTAGTTCTTTTCTTGGTTATAGTGTCCCTTTTGAATCTCTAGGAGGAGATGCTGATTAGCCAGGGCTGTGTTTGGCTTGTGCTGGCTCTGCCCCTGATCGGCCTCCTTGGCAATCTCAGCCAATCCTATTGGAAAGCAATGTGATTGGCTTTAGATCATCACTTCTGATGAGGTCAGCCAAGGAGGCAGATCAGGGGCAAAGTCAGCAACAGCAGACTGGAAATAAAGGTAAGATTCAGCTGTATTTAGGCGTGAGGAGGGGGGAAGATGGTATTCTTGACCCTATAGTGTTCCTTTAATGAAGCAGTTTTTGTGCATAGACCAGGTCTCTGAAGTCTCACTGCTCAATTCACTGCCATTTAGGAGTTAAATAACTTGTTTCTGTCCATGCAACCCCAGCCACACCTCCCCTTGCTGTGACCAACACCACCTGCATGAAAGCAAAATGGTTTCATTTTCAATCAGAAAAAAAGACACTAGAGTCAACAGAACAACTACAGCTTAATGTGGTGATCCATGCAGGCTTTTGTTTCACACAGCTCTTGAAATAATTATGCTTTAGACTTCTTTAAGGGGGCTGGGGACCCTACATGTGTTGTTAATACAATTGTGTCAGGAATACATGTCTCTTGCTCTGTAAATTGAACTTTATGTACAGATGGCTCTTGCAGTGTCTAGCAAGCGGTTTACAAAGCATGTGATAATAAATGCCAACTTAAACAGAATTTTCAAAAAAGGAAGTATAAGCATTAGATGACTTTACAGGAAGTGTTTAGGAAGGCTGTGCAAGCCAGATGCAGGGAGATGTGGCTAGAGCTGTATAAACAAAGTTATTTAACCCTTAAATAGTGAATCTAGCAATGAGGCTGCAGGGGCATGATCTATACACCAAAACTGCTTCATAAAGCTAAAGGTTTTTTTTTTTGGTGACTTCTGTTTGAAAGGAGGTGAACAGACATTAAATAAATGCCAATGGTGGCTTCTGACAGAGAGGTTTGCCAGGGGTGCCCAAAAGTTAGATCCCCAGATGTTGTAGAACTATGACTCCCAAGATGCTTTGCATGCCTTCAGAATGACAAAGCATCATGGGCGTTTTAGCTCTACAATATCTGGAGATCTACCTTTTGTGCACCCCTGACCTACGGTTTGTAATCAATCCTAGTGTATAAATGAGATGAAGCTCAGAGAATAAAATGGAAAAGAAAGGAAGGATTTCAGAGTATTTTAAGTTATGTTTGTTTTTGTTATTTTAACTTTAGATCATACATAAAACAGCCATAACATTAAAATAACTGACTGGGGAAGTGAATAATATTGATTATGTTGTTAAAATGGCACCTGACAAGGGGTGGGATAATAAGGCAGCAAGTGATCAGCCAGTTGTTGAATGTCATGTGTTTTGTAAGCAGGAAAAATGGAAAAGCGAAAAGATCTGAGTGACTTTGACTAGGCGACTGGATCAGCGCATCTCCAAAATGTAATCGTCTCATATTTTTAAACACTTGCAGACGGTTGCCAAGCTAAAGAGTCTTTACTATATACACTCACAGGAATTTTTTCCACTTGGCAATGTTTACAGCTGTTCCAAATCTCAGGAACACATTGGGAGAAGGTATAATGAGTGTTGGGTTCACTTTGTAAGCATTCTATAAAGAGTTAGAGACCATGGATGCCCAAGGGACCATGAAAACGGTTTGACACTTAATAGTATCAATGATTCCAGAGGACTCATGATACCATAAACACTATAGTGCGCTGTAATGGTACTCCACATCCCTTTAAAAAGGGACACTGTAGGCACATAGACTAATTCATCTCAATGAAGTGGCCTGGGAGCCATGTTCTTGTCATTTAGCCCTGCAACTGAAAACATTGCCATTCTGCAGGAAAGGCAATGTTTACATTGCAGGCTTAAAATGCCCATAATAGTTGTCCCAATGGCAGCCATTAGAAGCACTCTAAATGTTTTGAAATTGAGTAAAACATTGCTATTTCAATAAAATGGTCTCATAAAAACAGAGCTTTGGTACAACCAGCAAGAGGCGGGATGTAATGTAAATACAGCAAGGGGATGGAGGGGGCAACCTATTGGTAGTGTTAGGAATACATGGGTGTATTACTAATGCTATAGGTATTCCTTTAAGTTGGTTTGTATAAACTGTCCTATCTACACTTTCCACATTGTGATTGATAGCTATACTGTCTGCATCTCACGTATGCCAGTCAGATTTTTATAAAATTACGGTGAGGAGCTTGTACATAATCTCATGCCAGATGGCCATTACTTGGTGTCTAGTATTCTTTGGGCTTATTTGTACAGCATAAAATTTGTCTGTAACAGATTCATTAGTTATCCTGTTTAAAAGGTGTCTTAATACCGATGTCATTGGATCAGTGGGTGAACTATCACTATCATTCCAACAGAAAACAAATACTGGGAAGAGGAGAGTGCTGATAAATCAAACAAAAAATAAAAATGTCCACAATCCAGGTGGCAGCTATACTACTTGTTGGCAATCCTAATAAAGAACAAAAGAAAACCCATTACTCCATAATTGTAAAACCAAAGTTTTTCCAAATAAGTGAAGTTGAGTACTATAATCAATACAGTCATAGTAGTAACAGTTTGCAGGATTCTTTAGGTGCTGGGCCATTATTCTATGTCAAACTGAAGCCTGGGCCCTCTGCTGTCAAAAATAGAATTCAATGTAACTCTGAAAATGGAAAAAAAATAAGCCATTAAAGAAAATGTTTGTGTGCCTAAAGGAACACTATAGTCAGGAATGCAAAAAAAAAAAAAAATGGGTCGCAAGAGAATTCTGAGGACGGACAGTAGCTAAAATAGCCTGCCCTTCGGTGGGTCCCCGCTCAGAACTCAAGCTGGTTTTAGCTCATCTTGTGCCATTACAGAGAGAACATATCTGAAGCATATCAGACTGGTCCCACCCATACGGGCAGTCCAGATCCGAAATGCCAGCAAGTTCACTCTGCACGAGAGATACAGCAACCCCAGACGATCGTTTCAGCCTTGTGAGGCATAGCGGATATCTCTCTAGGCACCGTGAGCAAGGGGTCCATGTCTGGATTACCCTTTAAACTAATGGAGAGCAAAAAATGGGTCGCAAGAGTATTCTGAGCGGGGACCCACCGAAGGGCAGGCTATTTTAGCTGCTGTCCATCCCATTTTTTGCTCTCCATTAGTTTAAAGGGTAATCCAGACGTGGACCCCTTGCTCACGGTGCCTAGAGAGATATCAGCTATGACTCACTGACGATGCCTAACAAGGCTGAAACGATCGTCTGGGGTTGCTGTATCTCTCGTGCAGAGAGAACTTGCTGGCATTTCGGATCTGGACTGCCCGTATGGGTGGGACCAGTCTGATATGCTTCAGATATGTTCTCTCTGTAATGGCACAAGATGAGCTAAAACCAGCTTGAGTTCTGAGCGGGGACCCACCGAAGAGCAGGCTATTTTAGCTACTGTCTGTCCTCAGAATACTCTTGCGACCCATTTTTTGCTCTCCTATAGTCAGGAAAACAAACTATAGTTTCCGGACCCTCTCTTAACTTTTCTCCTGCCAGTCTCACCACATCATCAATCTTAATCTCAGCGAATCAAATGATTTCACATAGGAAAGTACTGGGAGGCTATTGCGCATGCGCAGCAAAACATCACACTGCACCAGTCAGCATCTCCTCATACAGGGAGTGCAGAATTATTAGGCAAATGAGTATTTTGACCACATCATCCTCTTTATGCATGTTGTCTTACTCCAAGCTGTATAGGCTCGAAAGCCTACTACCAATTAAGCATATTAGGTGATGTGCATCTCTGTAATGAGAAGGGGTGTGGTCTAATGACATCAACACCCTATATCAGGTGTGCATAATTATTAGGCAACTTCCTTTCCTTTGGCAAAATGGGTCAAAAGAAGGACTTGACAGGCTCAGAAAAGTCAAAAATAGTGAGATATCAGAGGGATGCAGCACTCTTAAAATTGCAAAGCTTCTGAAGCGTGATCATCGAACAATCAAGCGTTTCATTCAAAATAGTCAACAGGGTCGCAAGAAGCGTGTGGAAAAACCAAGGCGCAAAATAACTGCCCATGAACTGAGAAAAGTCAAGCGTGCAGCTGCCACGATGCCACTTGCCACCAGTTTGGCCATATTTCAGAGCTGCAACATCACTGGAGTGCCCAAAAGCACAAGGTGTGCAATACTCAGAGACATGGCCAAGGTAAGAAAGGCTGAAAGACGACCACCACTGAACAAGACACACAAGCTGAAACGTCAAGACTGGGCCAAGAAATATCTCAAGACTGATTTTTCTAAGGTTTTATGGACTGATGAAATGAGAGTGAGTCTTGATGGGCCAGATGGATGGGCCCGTGGCTGGATTGGTAAAGGGCAGAGAGCTCCAGTCCGACTCAGACGCCAGCAAGGTGGAGGTGGAGTACTGGTTTGGGCTGGTATCATCAAAGATGAGCTTGTGGGGCCTTTTCGGGTTGAGGATGGAGTCAAGCTCAACTCCCAGTCCTACTGCCAGTTCCTGGAAGACACCTTCTTCAAGCAGTGGTACAGGAAGAAGTCTGCATCCTTCAAGAAAAACATGATTTTCATGCAGGACAATGCTCCATCACACGCGTCCAAGTACTCCACAGCGTGGCTGGCAAGAAAGGGTATAAAAGAAGAAAAATCTAATGACATGGCCTCCTTGTTCACCTGATCTGAACCCCATTGAGAACCTGTGGTCCATCATCAAATGTGAGATTTACAAGGAGGGAAAACAGTACACCTCTCTGAACAGTGTCTGGGAGGCTGTGGTTGCTGCTGCACGCAATGTTGATGGTGAACAGATCAAAACACTGACAGAATCCATGGATGGCAGGCTTTTGAGTGTCCTTGCAATGATTATAGCAATCCCCAGAGTGTAGTTTCTCCAATCCCCCAAACTTGAGCCGAAACTTCATGAAGGTACAAGATGATCTGACTCCAATGAGCGTTTATTACTCCTTATATACACAAGTTTTCAGGTCAGAGGCACACCCCCTGGACCTGGTGGTAAACTGTGACAAAAGGGACACAAATCAATGGGAACACTAATTAACATGATAACACTCTCACATACACAATGAAATCCCTCCTCTCCATCCTGGAGATAATTGGCTTAAGGCACTGCAGTAAACTCAATTATCTCCAGGTACAGAAAATATCTACATTTAACACCAACAGCAAAATACGTAAAAGTAAATAAAAATACATAATTCTTATTTTATTATACAGAACCCCCACATTTAACCTATCCCCAGATAGCTCGGATCTGAGCGCCCAATCTAGGTGAACAGCGCTCACATCCCATGAACAGAGTAGATTTTCCACGGGGTAAAGCATAGCAAGGGCTGTTGAGAAACCAAGGAGGGACAAAAGCAGTCAGTTCCAACTAGTTTGGCAGTGTGCCTGGGACAACGCCCTGCTGGAGAACAATAGACAGGAAATGGGGGTGGGGAAGAATCACACCTTCCCATGGATTCACATGGGAAGAAACTGTCTTTAGAAGCCAATAAGCCCCAAATAGTCTTTTTAAATGGCAATACACCCCAGGGCCATAGTCATGAGGAAGGAGGCTGGCAATCAGGTTCCTCCAAAAGCCGGGGCCAAAGGGCAGCTTGTCACCTAACAATCCAGGGACAAAAAGGCATTTTGTCACATGTGTCAACTGAGCAAATGTATGACATACAAAGTTCCATGTCTCAGAGTGGCTCGAACAGAAGCGAAGTGCTGAAATAAAGATCAAATAAACCACTGCAGCGAAGGAAAAAAAATTTAAGATTTACTCAGCGCTCCTGGTAATCCAGTGGGACAGCTAGTATTGTCCAACAGATGCCAGCTACTTCCAAGTATGGGCACAGTTTAGAATACGGAATTTGCAGCACTCATTAATTTACCAGGAATACTTGCTGTAGTAGTTATGGTGCCAACAATGCCCTGATACACTCCCAATGCAAGTAGTCAAACCACTTTCTAAAAATGTGTACTTATTATCCGGGTTCCACTGTTGGAAACAGTCAAACTCTTACTTAACAATTCCACTACTTACCTTGGGGTTTATAGGGGCACCTAGACATGTTTGAAGGGTTTGTTTAAAAGGCAAGTATCTTTTTATTGAATGTACATTTGTTGGCACATTTTAGCGTTTTATCTGTAAATACATAAAATAGGTCAATGCAAGCCTGGTATGCCCCTTGAACAAAGCCATACGTTTTATTAATAACAAAGCCCAGCACACAATCATGCTATATCGTGTGCCAACTGTTGCATTTCATGGAAGGGTTAGAGAATGCAGTGAATTTTTTTAGTTCACTGAACAGAACACAGTGACAATCATTTCAGAAATTTGAACAAATTGATACATGAAAGAAGTAACTATTACCATTCTGCAAACAAATCAAGAATACTGAAATGCAGCAAGCGAATCACATGTTAGAGATACTAATGGTAAACTTGCAATCAAACCAAAATATCAAATGTTTATTTGATAGAATAAAATAAAAATACGTTCACATTTTTAAACAATGTAGACATGTTTCTTGACAATCATTTCCTCATTGTCAAGTATGCAAAAGCCTCCCAAAGTATATGCAAAGTTTCTGCTACTGTGTAGTCTTCCCAAGTGCGCAACCACTTTTAGTCACACAATCACAGTACTGAACAATTGGTTAAGATTCTGTGATGCCACATTTTAACATGGTTCACATGATATGGTCTATAGAGGTACGCTGAACAACTAAACACATTGTGAGACATCCTATCAGCACTAACAAAACACAACAGGGGTTCTAGAGCAGTAGGAAACAACTATGGAAAATTATGTATAAAAAAAAAACAAAAAAAAAAAACAATCACAAAGAAACATGTTACAGTCTATTCAGAGTTTATAAAAATCCACATGCTAATACCCAATGTTTTTTTCTCAAGACTGAGAAAAAAGAAAAAAAAAATCCACACCCATTTTTAGTTTTTCTAATCTCATAGGAGAGGAAAAAGAATACAAAGCTTCCTTTGGATCGAGAAGAAGAAGAAGAAAAAAAAAAAAAAAAGAGTATTAAGAGATAATACATAAAAAAGATATAGAGCACGTCAAAGAGCAACCACAAGCTTACCAAAAAGAAAAAACAAAATGTTAGAAGATGATGACATTTGATTAAAGGACCACTATAGGCACCTAGACCACTTCAGCTCAATGAAGTGGTCTGGGTGCCAGGTCCATTTAGGGTTAACCCTGCAGCTGTAAACATAGTTTCAGAGAGAGAAACACATTGTAAGACATCCTATCAGCACTGCATGTTTACAATAGGGTTAATCCAGCCTCTAGTAGCGGTCTCATTGACAGCCGCTAGAGGCATTTCCGCGCTTCTCACTGTGATTTTCGCAGTGAGAAGACGCTGCCGTCCATAGGTAAGCATTGAGAAATGCTTTCCAATGGACTGATTGAATGCGCGCACAGCTCTTGCCACGTATGCGGCAGATGACGTCAGAAGAGGGAGGAGAGTCCCCAGCGCCAAGGAAGCCCGGCGCTGGAGAAAGGTAAGAATTTAACCCCTTCCTCCCCCTTCAGCCGGACGGGAGGGGGGCCATGAGGGTGTGGGGGGATCCAAAGACCCTATAGTGGCAGGAAAACAAGTTTGTTTTACTGGCACTATAGTGGTCTTTTAAGGAAAGGGGCAGTCAAAGCACCAAAATAATTTAATCTGAAAAGAACATTCCAAGCACCATATCATAACCACTACAGGAGGCTGTATTTGTTATGATGTCAGGAGTGCACTTTGCACCTTCCAAGGGTAAGTTGTCAAACCATATGAGACCGTTTGAGAACTTACCTGGGTTCTGCCAAGAGCCTCGTCACAGGAGGAATTTATGGTAAATGTCTATAAATGTTAAAATTAGAGACTTAGGATATGTTATTAATGCACTAACAGACATATCTAAGGGGTGTAGGAATTAAGTCTCCTCTCAATTTCAACTTGAAAAAAAAATAAAAAAAAATAATAAAGTAATAAAAAGCCGACTTAAAAAGGACACTATAGTCACCAGAACAACTACAACATATTGTCCCCACCTTATCGCTTCATATCCACACAGCCTGCTAATGTGTGCAGACACAGGACCCCCCCCCTTGACTTAGAGCCCCCACCTGCCGTGAGTGGGTAGCAGGGACACCCCGCATTATCAGTTAGGACTCCCACTAGTGGATGGAGGCTGAGAGGGACCCCCATTGTAGTCTAGGACCCCACCTGCCGCTAATAGAACCCCTTTTATTAAATTGCATACATATATTACAGCCACATGGCCAGAAGCGAGAATTTAACATCCCTAATGCTAATGAGGGTCAAGAAGTGTCAGGGAGCACAGCTCCCTGCCACTACTAGTTTTACATATTACAAGGAGGGAGCCACGAGCCGGTAGCTCCCGCTTTGTTCTAAACTGAACAAATGAAGACCAAAATGCAATTCGGTCTTTGGAATTTCTATTTGTTCATTCGATTTTTTGACGAATAAACATCTATCCAAAATTCCCATCCGAATTTCGAACAATAGCGAATTCCCATGTCTGCAACCGGGAATGCACGGCATATGTTCCCTCTATTTGAGAACACTAAGATGGCGGCGCCTAGGACCTAGATCTGGACAAGAAAAAGATGTTTGAAAAAAAAAAAAGTTAAATGGGAAACCTAAAAGTTATTTGGGGGTGACAAGCCAGACAACAAAATGTAGTGCAGTTGGGAAGAGAACAAAACTTTTTTACTGTGCAAAAGATCACTGGGATGTTAGCGAAAGAGCCCAGGGGTATTCCTGATTCTCACTCAATTACCTCTTCATTCACTTTATATTTTGTCAATAGCTGCAACTCTACTTTTTTAGCCATCACTTCCAAATTTCCACTGCTACCTCTTCTCTTAAATCCCCATGGTATCCTTTAGATTGTAAGCTTACGGGCTATCTAGTAAAGCACTTTGTATAAAAGAGCTTAAATGGCTAGATCTGAGCTTACGGGTAGGACTTTCTACCTTTTGTATGGGTCTGTGTTTATTGTAAATTCTTGTACAGCGCTGCGGAATCTGTTGGATCTTTATAAATACCAGTAATAGTTTTTTTTCAGTTTGAGAATTTTAAGTTGACAAATTCTCCTTGTCATCTTTAAGCATTATTCATTAAATACAGCAAAATTATTTTTTTAGCATTATTCATTAAAATGGGAATTGTGAGAAATACAGTTTAAATGAAAGGCAAACAAGGCTGGTATCATTTTCCCAATAAGGCCATTGTGGCTTAAGATTTCAGTTTGCCATGATCTGCCCCAAATAAAAATCACGTCTACTCATACTTTTATTCAAAATGTGTTCCTGAACATTTTTTCCAATCGCATTTAAAATAAATTTCCCCACAACAAAAACTCACAGGTCTATAATTACCAAGCTGATACAGTCACCACGTCTACTTTAGATTGTGCTCCCTCGCACACAGGAAAGAGTTGAGGTTTTGTTATAAAAAAAAAAAAATTAAAAAAAATTAGTTGGTTACTTCTAGATTAAACTCCTTAAAACCTGGGTTTTAAGGAGATTAATCTGGTAATCACCAGATTGTTCAGTCAGTTTTTCCTAAAAAAGTTGTTTTCTTAAAACCTATACTAGCAACAACTGTATATGTTGCAATACACCCCACAAATCCAATTTAAAATCCTTCTAAAACTCTAGCCATAAGTCCGCCAAGCAGCATAACCACTTCAGCCTGCTTGAGTAGTTATGATGGAAGGTGTACCCTGGCCCCGGTTAAGGGGCAAGGTTTGCCAACTTATCTGCTTCTACCAAATGCAAAGGATGCTCTCTTGCTGTATGTTGCGTGTATCAAGTTTCTGCAGAACTGAAAAGGCCAGATGCAGATGCTGCCAGCTAGTTATTGGCTGAAAGGGTAAGCAGATAGCTCTCAGCCAATTAATGCAACACTGTGCTTAGAAATAGAACATTGAACTCATTTCCGGGCTGGTTAATGATGCCCTAATGATGCTGCCTGAGGTGGAGTTAGACCTCCAGCAATAAAGGGTTTAAACTGTCTGTGCAGTGCTTCATAGCAAAGTGCTGCACATAGAAACTTCAAGCACCATGACCACTTCAAATCACTAAAGTGGTCCTGTGCACAAAGTAACTCTTTAAAGCCAAACTGAAAGCACAGGTGACGTGGAGTTTGTCACTTTGAAAATTCTGACAATTTTCACGTTAGTACATAGCCTTATTATTAAAGTGCCAACAAATTCCACAGCGCTGTACAATTGGTTGGTTTCAAAGAGAAAAAAAAAGGAATATAGTGTAGCACCAACAAAAAATTTCAAAGAGACAAAAGTGGCACAAGCAGTCATCAATTATACATTTGGTTTTAATGCAAAGTTTAACAGTGAAGGTATAAACTGGTAAGGAACTACAAGGAAATGTCAAACTTAGGTCAAATTTAAACAATGCAGACTTGGAAAGGGTTTTCACTTAGGTTATTAAGACCTAAATTTTAAATCACAACAATTTAATGAATAACCCTGTCAGATTTCTCCTCCTCACTAATTAAACTATTTCACTGTGAGCGTTTAGTACATCATGCAGAAATGTGTAGGACAGAGGGGAGAACGTAAAATCCTCACCCCTTCTTATACAGTATATAGCAAATAAACTGTTGTGGGAGTCACTGCACAGTTAAACAAACAATGTTAACCAGTTTAGGACTACATCATAAAGCATTCCACTTCCTCATTATTTGTCCAAATATGCAATGATAGGCTCACAGAGCTGAGTTATGGGAACATCTGATTCATTCAGCATCGCTAAACTGCTGCAGCCCTTTCTGTCAACAGCGATTTGTCAGGTCAGAATGGCTGTAGTCACTGCAGAAAGCCTTCCCTATTTCAATGGAGAGCACATCTGACACTGGAATGCAGAATTATGTGATACATTAAATGTAAAAAAGTTAGTAAAACTTTGCTTAGAGTATTTCTTTAAATGTTGCTGGCACACAAAATCTAAGTAGGAAAATGGGATTCCAGACAGTACATGCATATCAGAGTTTACAATAGTGTGCTGATAAGGAACCTGCACTGAAGTTTGTCAGCTGGAAATAGCATGTTCTGCAGATTGAAAGTCAACAGATACCACACACTCATCAGAAGAAGAGTACAAAGGGCAAACTAAAGGAGGAGTAAACGCACATTCCAAAACATACAGCCTTGCCTGCAACTAAAACTACCATGAAAGAAAATCTGAGTATTTCATCAGAGTAATTTACCAACGTGAGAATTGTTAATGAAATGTGAATTCAGGGTGAATCTCAAAATGTAAGGCCCAAAATAGCCAAACTGGTCAAATTCTCCTTGTCGGCAAGGTTTCGAGTTCAACTACTTTGAACTTACATTTTAAAATTCCCTATGAAATCATTTAGAGTTCCTAACAAATCACACTAACTATGAAATATACCAGAACCACAACTAAAATGTAAATTGAGGTCAGTAACCAGAAAATGAGCAGATTACACTACAATTAATGGCAGTCCCTTGTCTGCTATTTAATAAAAAAGTTAAAAGAAACACTGTAGGCACCCTAACCACTTCAATGGATTGGACAAGTTAAAAACTGCCCTTCAAGAAGGCTTCATCTTTGTCAATGACTATTACCAATTGATTCATTGTCAGGGATAAGAACATTTATTATGCATTTCTGGAATGTTGAGAGCAGCTCAAATTTATAAAGTCATGAAATATTTTAATATTTGCTGACTGTATTTATGGCTAAATTAACCATACAGATAAGTAAAATGTGTAAATTGGGACTGAAGGAAAGTTACTTACAATGAATTATTTTCAAGGATGATGAAAATGTGTTGACTCTCCAGTTAGGAATCTGAGCCAAAACTTCCCCGATTACGTAAAAGCTAAATTATGGGATTACTAGACAGTTTCAAAACTGTAGATTACAGGTCATCTTATCTAATGAAGATCAACAAAAAGTTTTCTCCAATAGTTTTGTGGAGGATTTGTGACTAATAGATCACACTTCTCGAATTCAGCACATTGTGCAAGCCCCCACTTTCTTTCCTAATGGGATAAAAACTCGGAAAACGGTGCAAGCCCCCACCCCTTGCTTTCCTGATGGGATAAAACCTTAGTTACCTTCCCCCACTACATTGTCCCACTGATTGACTTAACCCTCCAACAGCAGGAGCAGCTCATGTGGGGGGATGGGGGAGGTATGTGGGCATCCAGGTTCACATGCCATGACATCAGGGTTAAAGAAAACAACTCTTTAATGTGTGCCCCATGGGACAGAAGGCAGCATGCATGTCTCTTGCACTTACCTGGTTAATCAGTAGTCTTGTGTTAACTATTTGTATACTGGGTGCACATTAAAATAGAAATTATTTTCCACCTTTGAGTGCCAGGAGGTAATGTAATAATACATCAATACCTCTATATTTACTCCTACAGGGCTTGAATAATCCACATACACTCACTGACAGTACTCCTCCCCAGCTTTACTGACCTATAACTCCTATGTTTCTCTGCTAGTAGAGCCTCATGTGAGTTACAGTTCTTTAACATTGCGAAGGGGTGGGGGTTGGGGGACCCAACCTGCTGGCGGCCACTTTAGTGTAATGCGAATAATGAAGGGTCATTTCTGGTTAGTATAATTTACTGACAGTAATTATTTTCTTAGAAACATCATACATAAATCATTCTAAAAACCAAGAGTACCATGGATAAAATGTAGATGGTGTATTTGGATGAGATGTAGATGGTGTATTTAGTGTCCAGTAACTGTGCTAAGAGCTGGGTTTGCTCTGAGTGCAATGGGTGTTGGCACTAGGCGACTATGAACAGCTTATCAGCAGGCTGGCTGAGAGTAATGGTAGTCTAACAAGGACTGGGTGGTTGGAAGCTAATGAACTAGGTGGTCATGTGCGCCCAGAGCCAATCATGCAGGAAGTACTTGGCCAACAGGTACATCAACTCCAACTCCCAGGATCCCCCCCCCCCAGCTACTGAGCAACTCCAACTCCCAGGATCCCCCAGCTACTGAGCAACTCCAGCTCCCAGGATCCCAGCTACTGAGCAACTCCAACTCCCAGGATCCCAGCTACTGAGCAACTCCAACTCCCAGGATCCCCCCAGCTACTGAGCAACTCCAACTCCCAGGATCCCCCCCAGCTACTGAGCAACTCCAACTCCCAGGATCCTTCCCAGCAGCCAGCTCCCAGGATCCCAGCTACTGAGCAGGATCCCCCAGCTACTGAGCAACTCCAACTCCCAGGATCCCCCAGCTACTGAGCAACTCCAGCTCCCAGGATCCCCCAGCTACTGAGCAACTCCAGCTCCCAGGATCCCCAGCTGCTGAGCAACTCCAGCTCCAGGATCCCAGCTACTGAGCAACTCCAACTCCCAGGATCCCAGCTACTGAGCAACTCCAACTCCCAGGATCCCAGCTACTGAGCAACTCCAGCTCCCAGGATCCCCCAGCTACTGAGCAACTCCTCCCAGCTCCCAGGCTACTGAGCAGCTCCAGCTCCCAGGATCCCCCAGCTGAGCAACTCCAACCCCAGGATCCCCAGCTACTGAGCAACCCAACTCCCAGGATCCCCCCAGCTACTGAGCAACTCCAACTCCCAGGATCCCCCAGCTACTGAGCAACTCCACCCCAGGATCCCCCTACTGAGCTACTGAGCAGCTACTGAGCATTCCCCCAGCTACCAGCAGGATCCCAGCTGCAGCAACTCCACTGATCCCCCAGCTACTGACCAACTCCCAGGATCCCAGCTACTGAGCAACTCCAACTCCCAGATCCCCCAGCTACAGAGCAACTCCCTCCCAGCTACTGAGCAACTCAACTCCCAGGATCCCCAGCTACTGAGCAACTCCAACTCCCAGGATCCCCCAGCTACTGAGCAACTCCAACTCCCAGGATCCCCCCAGCTACTGAGCAACTCAACTCCCAGGATCCCCCAGCTACTGAGCAACTCCAACTCCCAGGATCCCCCAGCTACTGAGCAACTCCAACTCCCAGGATCCCCAGCTACTGAGCAACTCCAACTCCCAGGATCCCCAGCTACTGAGCAACTCCCAGGATCTCCCAGGATCCCCCAGCTACTGAGCACTCCAACTCCCAGGATCCCAGCTACTGAGCAGCCCCAACTCCCAGGATCCCCAGCTACTGAGCACCTCAGGATCCCAGCTACTGAGCAGCTCCAGGATCCCCCAGCTACTCAGCTCCCAGAGCTACTGAGCAACTCAACTCCCAGGATCCCCAGCTACTGATGAACAGTTACAACTCCCATGACAGCAGCCGAGCTGGTGCAGTGCCCGGCCCCACCTCCCCCTCACCTTGCGGTGCCCGGTGTCCGTGCAGACAGTACTTACCGAGGCTGACAATCAGCAGCAGAGCGGAGGCTGGCAGCGCCATCCTGGATAGCCCGGTATCGGTGAAGGAGCGGCTCCTGGCTGGGTGTATCCCTCTCCCGGTCGGTCGGTTATAACACCAATGGTGATAATAATAATACTATAATAATAACGGAGCGCTCTCCCCCGCGCGGTCACCTGGCAACCCGCACTGCCTGTCCTCGCGCTGCCTTCCAACGGTTATTAATCCGCGTGCGCCGCTGGTAGAGTGAGAGCGCGAGCGCAATGTGTCTCGAGCTCTATCTATCTATCGCTCTCTCTCTGCCCATGGTCGATGCCTGGATCCCAGCAGGTGAATCGTGACGTCACTTCCGGCCAGGACCCTACCCAGCCCCAATTCAAACAAAGTGAGATGAGACAGTGAGGTACATTACAACCTACCTGTCTGCCGGTCAGTCCCTTTAATACAGCCCCTCCCCCGCCCCCCCGGGGGTCTCATTACTACCTGTACCCCGGGCAGACAGTTATATTTGTCAGACTGAGACCTGGATAATGAGTCCTGTGCTGATCACACCCAGTGCATCCACTATCACAATCTACACCTACCACACCGCTTTCAATAATACCACACAGCTTTTAATAATACCACACGGCTTTCAATAATACCACACCGCTTTCAATAATACCACACAGCTTTTAATAATACCACACAGCTTTTAATAATACCACACGGCTTTCAATAATACCACACGGCTTTTAATAATACCACACAGCTTTTAATAATACCACACAGTTTTTAATAATACTGCACAGCTTTCAATAATACCGCACGGCTTTCAATAATACCCACAGCTTTTAATAATACCACACGGCTTTCAATAATACCGCACGGCTTTCAATAATACCGCACGGCTTTCAATAATACCGCACGGCTTTCAATAATACCCACAGCTTTTAATAATACCACACGGCTTTCAATAATACCACACAGCTTTTAATAATACCACACAGTTTTTAATAATACCGCACGGCTTTCAATAATACCACACAGTTTTCAATAATACCACACAGCTTTTAATAATACCGCACAGTTTTTAATAATACCGCACAGCTTTCAATAATACCCACAGCTTTTAATAATACCACACGGCCTCCAATAATACCACACGGCTTTAAATAATACCGCACAGCTTTCAATAATACCGCACAGCTTTCAATAATACCGCACGGCTTTCAATAATACCCACAGCTTTTAATAATACCACACGGCCTCCAATAATACCACACAGCTTTCAATAATACCACACAGCTTTTAATAATACCGCACAGCTTTCAATAATACCGCACAGCTTTCAATAATACCCACAGCTTTTAATAATACCGCACGGCTTTCAATAATACCGCACAGCTTTCAATAATACCGCACGGCTTTCAATAATACCCACAGCTTTTAATAATACCGCACGGCTTTCAATAATACCGCACAGCTTTCAATAATACCGCACAGCTTTCAATAATACCTCACAGTTTTTAATAATACCGCACAGCTTTCAATAATACCGCACGGCTTTCAATAATACCACACAGCTTTTAATAATACCGCACAGCTTTCAATAATACCGCACAGCTTTCAATAATACCCACAGCTTTCAATAATACCGCACAGCTTTCAATAATACCGCACGGCTTTCAATAATACCGCACGGCTTTCAATAATACCCACAGCTTTTAATAATACCGTACAGCTTTCAATAATACCCACAACTTTTAATAATACCGCACAGCTTTCAATAATACCCACAGCTTTTAATAATACCACACGGCTTTCAATAATACCGCACGGCTTTCAACAATACCCACAGCTTTTAATAATACCGTACAGCTTTCAATAATACCCACAACTTTTAATAATACCGCACAGCTTTTAATAATACCGCACAGCTTTCAATAATACCGTGCTAATATACATCCTCTAAGGCAGGGCTGCCCAACAGGTAGATCCCCAGATGTTGTAGAACTACAACTCCCAAGATGCTTTGTGTGCCTTTGGAAATGACAAAGCAGCATGGAAGCTGTAGTTTTAAAACATCTGGGGATGTACCTACCTATCGGGCACCGCTGCCATAAGGATTTAGGTTGACAAAAGGCGGAACCGAAGATGGCGGTGGCCGCGAGGGACGGCCTGAGGTAAGTAAACCTCGCCGCCCACGACACATCCCCCGGTACTCACATATGCTCTGTCAGTTTCGGCAAAAAAATATGCCAAGACCCCTAAAAAGTTATAGATCTGCTTTTAAGGGAAACACTTTAATGTTGGGAATATAAAGATGTATTTCTAACAGTAAGGTGTCCCTCTGCCCTGCAGTCCTTCTCCCATCCATGAAAGGGTTAAAAAAACCGAACCAACATCGGATCTGCAGTTTCGGGGGTCTGTGCAAAATATGCAAAAAATTATGGATCTGCTTTTAAAGGAATTCTTTAGTGTTAGGAATACAAAGATGAATTCCTAGCACTAAAGTGTCCCTCTGCCCCGTTGGTCCTCCTCCCAACCATGAAAGGGTTAAAAAAACTTTCAGTCACTTACCTGATTCCAGCGCTGATGTCCCTAGGCACTGGATTGGGCTCCTCTTCCAGCAATGTCACAGAGATGAGGGAATCTAATGCCACAATGTTTCCCTGTGGGGATTTTCAAGATGCTTATGCAAAGCTTGAGTACGTACAGCATAGTTTCACGAAGTCAAACTCCGTGAAACAGCAGGTAACTCCTCTGGTGGCTGTCTCTAAAACTGGAATGTTTTTCATTGTAGAGCCAAGTGGGATAGGAACACCATCCAGACCACTTTAATGAGATAAAGAGGTCTGGTTGCCTATAGTGTCTATTCAAATGTCTATTCAAGTGCCTATAGTGTCTATTCAAATGTATTACTTTTTTCACATCAATCTACGCTCAATACCCCATAATAATGCAAAACTAGATTTTTGAAAACTGTACTGCAAAAGTGATGTCCTTGTTTGTAGTGTATGATCTGCTTAACATTACACCAGGTAAGTTATTTTTATAAGCATGGAGATTTTTTGGTGTGTGTGTGTATACATATATAGTGCATTCAGAAAGTATTCAGAACACTTACATTTTTTTTTTCAAAATAACACAGTTTTGAATACTTCAATTTATTAAACAATAAAACATTTAAATATCACATTAACACAAGTGTTCAGATCTTTTGCTATGTATTTTTGATATTTATCTATACTTTGTTTGGAGTTCACCTGTGTCAAATTCAATAGATTGGACATGACTTGGAAAGGCTCAATTTTAATAGGGCTGATGAATGTGAAGCTTGAGTCTAGACCCATGCCCATGGAATAAGCCCATTGATTTAAAGGGACACTATAGTCACCTGAACAACATTAGCTTAATGAAGCAGTTTTGGTGTATAGAACATGCCCCTGCAGCCTCACTGCTCAATCCTCTGCCATTTAGGAGTTAAATCCCTTTGTTTATGAACCCTAGTCACACCTCCCTGCATGTGACTTGCACAGCCTTCCATAAACACTTCCTGTAAAGAGAGCCCTATTTAGGCTTTCTTTATTGCAAGTTCTGTTTAATTAAGATTTTCTTATCCCCTGCTATGTTAATAGCTTGCTAGACCCTGCACGAGCCTCCTGTATGTGATTAAAGTTCAATTTAGAGATTGAGATACAATTATTTAAGGTAAATTACATCTGTTTCAAAGTGAAACAAGTTTTTTTTTTTTCATGCAGGCTCTGTCAATCATAGCCAGGGGAGGTGTGGCTAGGGCTGCATAAACAGAAACAAAGTGATTTAACTCCTAAATGACAGTGAATTGAGCAGTGAAATTGCAGGGGAATGATCTATATACTAAAACTACTTTATTTAGCTAAAGTAATTTAGGTGACTATAGTGTTCCTTTAAAAAAATAAAAATACTACTTTTCATATGTTCTTGCATTGTGCAGAGTAAATTAAGTATTGAAACTTAAGAGCGATATAGGTAAACAAAACACACACAGAGGGAGTATTGAAGGCAAAGTATGAAAAGAGGCGTTGCGTACAGCATAACCAGACTCTACTTCCCCACAGACTCAGCCAGCAGAAGACACCCTCCTGCACTGTATTGTGTCAGTGTGTGCATCTGTGTGACTGTGTATCTGCATGTGTGTCAGTGTGTGTATCTGTGTGTGTATTTATATGTGTGTCATTGTGTGTTTCTGTATGTGTGTCTGTGTTTCTATCTATGTGACTGTGTATCTGCATGTGTGTCTGTGTATATGTGTTTGTATCTGTGTGTCTGTACATCTCTATATGTGTCAGTGTTTGTATATGTGTGTCAGTGTGTGTGTGTGTGTGTGTGTGTGGCAGTGTATTTGTATATGTGCATGCATTTCAGCATTTCATCTTCAACACTATGCACAAATAAACTCCTATATTCAAATGTCAACACTACATACAAACACTCATGAATTCAAATGTCAACACTACATACAAACACGCCTCTGTATTAAAACACCAAAATTATATTTAACCCCTTAAGGAACAAACTTCTGGAATAAAAGGGAATCATGACATGTCACACATGTCATGTGTCCTTAAGGGGTTAAATAAACCGTTGCATTCAAAACCCAACACTACACACAAATGCATGCCTGCATTCAAATGACCACACTGCATACAAATACACCGCTACTTAAATATACCCCATAAAACAATATTCTTACATTCAAAAACACTGCTCTGCACTAAATGTAAGCCGACAACGATGGGCAAATGGTAGATCCCCAGCTTGCATTGTGGGAGTTGTCCAACAGATATTCTTGTTCCAGAACCCTCTCTACATTAGTTCCTCCACTACATTGAATGGATTAAACTGTAAAGTGCTTAGAACAACTAAAATCACCAAACAAATCCAATATATAAACATGCAGATACTGTGTAAATACTGTACTTTACTTCCTAATGTAATGTAACATTTAAAATGCTAAATAAACCTGTTAGCACTAAATGAATAAGAAATGAACACTACAAACAACTTAATGAATTCAAATATATGAAACAGCCTCATAACAGTCACACGCCTGCCTGAAAATATATATTTATTTATTTTTACGTTATTTTTTTGTGTGCTCTTTTTACCTTATATTTATATTAGTATCTCATGAATCTAAAATGAATTATTTATGTAAAAACTAGAATATATTAATATAAAATGACTACAATTAATTATGAATTAAAAATACATGAAAAATAATTAAAAATACATGATTGTAAGATGAAAGATAAATGATTATGAATTAGCTAAGACAGGAATTTAAAATCTGTATTAATGATTATGAATAAAGCAATGTAAAGATCAGCTCTGGATCAATATCAATGTAAAATAAGCAGCCCAGATATGTACAATACTCCACAATTCCTGCTAAGGTCATGGCCTGATTTT